AATAACAGGGCAATATAAGGAAAGTAAAAAAAAGACCAAAAAAAGCACATAAGACTCAGGCTAGACGACAAGGAAATAATTTATTTCCGGGTCCTAGAAAGACCTTGAAAAAAAAAAATAACAAGGGTGAGGAAATCAACCTTCTAATTTCATCTGGGTAGAGAAACAAACCCGAAGTGAGTCCATCAGGCACGGTGGCAGCTGCCAGCTCCTCCTGCGGGGCGGGCAGGGGGGGCTGGCACCGCGCTCCTCCCGTATTTACAGTGGGACAGAAACTAAAACGCAAGCGTGAGTGCATGCGCGGGGAGCACGGGCTGCTCGGGATGGGGAGAACCCACGGAGGGGTGCTAAACACCTACCCTGTCAGACCCCATCTCCTAGGACAGAGCCCTGCTATTGCACAACACTTGGCTAGAGGACGGGCCAGTGCCCGGGGGGCTCAGCTCTGCAGCCCAGAGGGAAAACACGAACACGTTCCTGAGGAAAGAGAGGGATTTCTCCGTTCTCCTGCTGGAGGTGCGGGGTGCCGCGTGCTTGAGATGGCGTGGCCAGAGCTGGCACTCGAGGCCCCGCTGCCTCCCCAGCATCATCACAGTGAACCAGCAGCACGCCGGGCACAGGTGCCAGCCGCAGCACCATCGCCTCCTCGGAGGGACCAGAGAGGCCACAGGGGCCATGGTGGCAGTGGGCAGGGGCAGCTGAGGGCAGGCACTGTGGCACAGCCAGTCCTGTCCCTCTCCGCTGCTGGCTCTCGTGCTGCAGCCAAAGGAACAAGGCCAGCAGCCGGGAAGCAACACAGAGTAAAAAAATGGACACGCATGTACATCTACAGCCAAACCTCCTCCAAAGAGAGAAAACAGTGTCTGTAGTTAAACTAAAAGGACAAACCCAATGACAAGCCCAGGATGTGTCAGGCCTTGGGAGACAGTATCAGTTACCTATCAATGATAGAATTGATTTTTTCCCAACGTGAACAGATAAGGAGCTGCACCAGCCAGCATGGCCTGAGGTGCTGTGCAAGGACATCACTCTACAGGCTGTTCAGTTTTCCCTGTGGTGTTATCAGGCTGGGAAGGCACTGGGCACCCAGTGCTTTCCTCCAGCATCATCTGCAGCCTAAGGAACAATGGCACATCCCACTGGCACCTTCCTCACCTGCCTCCCAAACTTAGGAATTACATGCAAAGCAGTCCTGCTGGGAGCTCATGCTGGTTTGCTGCAGGATACTGTGCTGGGGTGGGGACACCCTGGGTATCCCGAGGTGCCACAGATGTGCTGCCCAACCTGCAGCCAGCTTGTCCCCAGAGCTGTGCCAGCAGGTTCTGGCCTCACACACATCTCCTGGGGATGGCTGTTCTGTTGCTGATGGTGGTGCTCTGCTGTCAGCTGGGTGCAAGCAGGAATTATTCTTCCCAGCCAGGGGCTGGGTTTCTCCTGCACCCTGCAGCAAGGTCCTCCATGGAATGCAGCTCTCCGCCAGCCAGGGTGGGCCAGGGAGCACTGACATCCTGCCTGCTGCCCTGTGCAGCTCACACCATTTGGTGACAGCCAGTGCCAGGCTGGGAGCCCTGCAAACCCCAGGTCCTGTGTGAAGGGCTGGCAGAGCCCACTGCGGGTGGTGTTCTGATGGCACTCCCCAGCACCACAGCTGCTCTGTGGCCCAGGCCACAACATCGTGCCTCGGTGACAGGTGGGACATCCCGCCTGCCACCGGGGCTGTGGGGCACACCAGGACTTCACAGACAACGTGTGCTGTGCAGGGAGTGTTGGGGATCCCCTTCCCATCACCAGCACCTCTGTGATCACCAGACAGGGGTGAAGTGATTGCAGCATGGAAGGGAAAGCTGGTCTGAGGTGAGCAGCGGTTCTGCAGGATGTGATCCCAGCGTGGCATCCTCCCTCCAACACCGTGCCCGCAGCCGGGGGCTGCTGAGAGCCCCACAGGGAGCAGCGAGAAGGAAGACTTCAAAAAGCAAGTAAACTTAGGAGGGGAAAATCTGAACAGAAGTTAAAAGCTTGTTTCCCTCAGCAAGGAAAGCTCTTAAAGAAATCAAAGCTCTTTAAATGCTCTGACTCAAGTGACAAAAACAATTTAGACAACAAAAGACTCCCGGTTTGCTCTTCCTCTCCTGGATGGGGATCACCGAACAGATCTATTTAAATGATAATTTGTGGGGGAGAAACCCTCTCCAAACCCTCTTGAATTAGATTTTCTCCTTCTTAAGTCAGTGCGTAGTGCTTTAATGGAGACTGGCTTTGAGGAGATGAGAACACCCCGGTGGCTCCTCCGGGCTCTCCAGCCTCCCCAGGCGGGTGTGGAGCCCACCCGGACTGAAGGCAGCTGCAGAGGAGCAGAGGAGCGTGGCCCAGGAGCACACGATGCCCGTGTGGGACCTCGTGCCCTGGAGCTCCTGTCCAGGAGGTGTCGGGAGCCCCGGGGCTGGGGGCAGCTAGGACTCCTCGCTGTCCTCGTCGCCCCTGCGCCCCGCGTACAGCGCTGCCAGCTGCCGGAACCGCGGCCCCCAGCCCCCCAGGTAGGAGAAGTCCTGCTCGGAGCCGCTGGACCAGGTGTTGATGGAGCTCAGCGAGGGCACTGGGGAGTCCGAGCCCTCGAAGGCATAGGTCTGGAATGAGTCATAGGGCGGCACAGAGAGGTCCTCGTCCGCCTGCTCCACCTTCCTGCAGATATAGTCTCTGAACACAGAGAAGTCCAGGTCTGGGCTCTGCACCCACTGTGGGAGGGCATGCAGCTCGGAGGCTGGGTTTCTGCCTGGGCCCCCCTCTCCCGGCCCCCCGCCTCCATCACCAGCTTTGATCTCACTGAAGTCGTAGAGGCTGCGCAGGGCTGACATGTCGTAGGCCTCAGTGTCCTGCTCGCCACCCCCTTCATCGTTGTATTTGATGACATTGTCCCTCATGTCCTCGTCATCCTCAGAGGTCAGGTGGCTTTTGTGGTGCCGCTTCAGCGTGAGGATCAGAAGGACCAGCACTGGGAAAGGAAGAGACAGTCAGAGGGGGCAGGGTCTCGGGGATGCTGTGCTCCTGCAGGGCGAGGATGACCCCTGCTCCCTGGCAGGGGTGGAGGCACAGCACCCCTGGCACGGGGAGCCCTGCCAGGATGCCAGAGGGCTCCCACCAGCCAGGCTCATCAAGCAGCAGCCCTGCTGTGTGCTGGCTTGGAGAGAGGTTTGCCTGGCCTCCAGGGCACACTGGGAGCCTCCCTTGCCATGCAGCGTGACTGCTGAGACAGGGGGGAGTGATGGATAAACACACAGCTGGACAGACAAACGGATGGGCTCTGCAGAGGATGAGCAGGAAAAGGGGGTGCATGATTCATAGTAGCAGTAGATGTTGGGAGGGTGAAAGTGGAGCAGATGGCACAGAGCCTGAGCAGCGAGACGCAGCTGTGTCCTGGATCATCATCCATTCAGCCCATCACCTTTAAAGCACCAATGTGCACTTTATTTGTCTGGGCAATTAGGCAGAAATTTGTTTGCACAGCGTTGGAAAATGAAACCAGTGTAAAGTGCACCCTGTGGGAAAGGGTTTTCTGAACGGAGATGCAGCAGGAGACAGGGAGTGGAGCCATGCCAAGGAGAGGAGACCTCACCAAACAATGTGCTGCCTCCCACAGGTGTCTGGACAAGCCTTGGAGCCAGCCAGGAGCCAGCTCTGGGGCCAGAGAGGGCTTTCAGCAGCTGCATCCATCAACTGTCCCATGCTAAACCTGAGGGCATTGCAACACTCCTTGTTCAGAGCCCTTTCCCACATGCACACAAGCACACGCTCCCCATGCCCAAAAAAGCTTGTGCCAGTGTGCCAGTACAGCGTTGGAAAATGAAACCAGTGTAAAGTGCACCCTGTGGGAAAGGGTTTTCTGAAGGGAGATGCAGCAGGAGACAGGGAATGGAGCCATGCCAAGGAGAGGAGACCCCACCAAACAATGTGCTGCCTCCTACAGCTGTCTGGACAAGCCTTGGAGCCAGCCAGGAGCCAGCTCTGGGGCCAGAGAGGGCTTTCAGCAGCTGCATCCATCAACTGTCCCATGCTAAACCTGAGGGCATTGCAACACCCCTTGTTCAGAGCCCCTTCCCACATGCACACAAGCACATGCTCCCCATGCCCAACAAAGCCTGTGCCAGTGTGCCAGCGGCAGGCAGCAGCATTCCCAGGGTACAGGTCCTGACCCAGGCAGCACTCTGGTTTGACCACAGCCCAGCTCTGCATCCTGCCCACACACTCACACACGCTCTAACACTGACCTTTTCAGGTAAGAGCACACCTGTGTGCCCCACACCCACCATCCTGCCCACACGCTGGGATCACACAGCCCCATCTGCTGTGAGATGCCTGCTGTGGGCACAGCATGGCAGCTGGCAAGCAGCTCTTGGCTCCTGCCTGTCCAGGCAAGGAGTGAGCCAGCAGCTCTCCAGGCTCTGCTGGGCAGCATCACACCTGCCTGGCACAGGGAACTCTGCTCTGGCTGCTGTGGAGCCCAGCATGCATGAGCTGTGGCAAACATGGGAGCTTCCCCCCTGATCCCCCCAGCAGGGCTGAGGTTCATGTCCCCCATGCTGCAGCTACCAGGGAGGAGAGAGATGCAGGGAAGCCCTGTGCCCACAGCTCTGTGCCCACAGCTCTGTGCCCACAGCACCTGCCTGCACACATTCACGTGATGCTGGTGGAGAGGAGCTGGGAGAGGACAGGGAGGACCCGGGGGACAGGCAGGCACTCACCAACCAGGATGAGGACGCAGACCAGCAGCGCGATGAGGGCGCCGGGGCTCAGCGTGGCTGACACCACGTAGGCTGTGCTGTTGCAGGACTGGATGGCCCCATTGCTGTCACAGCCACACACACGGATGGTCAGAGTGCCCGTGCTGCTCAGGGCTGGGGGGCCGCTGTCCACCACCAGGATGGGGAGCAGGTACACGTCCTGCTCCTGGCGATTGAAGCCCACTCTCTGTGTGTGCACCGCTGCCGTGTTGTCTGCAGGGAACAAGCAAAGCTGCAGCAAAGTCACCCCCACATCACAGCCTGCAGCACCTGCAGGGGCTCCTCCATGCTCTGGATGAACAGCAGCTATTCCTGCACCCCTCCAGCAGCTATCCTGACAGAGCCTGGAGCCTCCCCCTCCTCCATCACATGGACCCAGCTCATGGCTCTGGGCACTGCAGACCCCCTCTAGCCTGAATGCCTGAACGTGGCCAGCTCCACTCCAGCACCTTCCCCTTGCCAGCAGCACCTCAGGGCCAGCCTGGCATCTTCTCTGTCACCACAGCTGGGAGTGAGCCTGGCAGAGCAGCAGCAGCACATGAGTGTCTGAACCACGCTGACAAACAACGCAGGTGGCACAGAGAGAGGGGAAAAACTTCCAAAAGACCCTCTGAGAGTGGCACAGAGTCAGGATAAAAATCAATTGCTGACATGTACACAAGAACAGACAGGGTCTGCAGGTGGCACTGAGACTGCAAGAGCAGACACTGCTTCTTCCAAAGCCAAAAGCCATGAGTGAATGGTCCTGCCTCAGCCGGAGGGCCAGATACCCCTATAATCTTCTGTAACTCCTGAAGGAGTAGGCAGAGCTTCTTCCAAGCCTCCCAGCCAAGTCAGGCATCCTCCTCCCCATCTGCTTCCACCCTGCCGCTGCAGGGGCTCAGCTGGCACAGCACAACTCGTTAAGATCCCATTATCACAGCCACTTCACGGGACCCTCCAGGGCCCCGGTGCCAGCAGTGAACCCAAGGAGCAGCTGCTGCCGACCAGGAGCAGGGAGGGAGGGCAGGAACAGGGACTGACACTGGGACTGACTTCCTGCTCAGGGGTGCTGCAAGCTGCCAGCCAGCAGCAGCATGGGCAGGATGGGCTGAACAGCAGGTGACAATTGGAGCCAGGTGTCACAAGCCACTGCTGAATGTCTGCAGGCTTTATCTAATAAACCATGGACTGGCCCACTCACAGCAAGGTGCTGCTGTCTACAGCCTCTCCTCATCAGCCCTGATTTATGCCAGACCATCCCCTTTCTCTATGAATCAGCTCTTCCATTGGAAAAGACATCTACAGTAACTCCGGCCCTTGGGCTGCTGCCATCACGGAAATTGCTGTATGGATTGGGTGCTGCATGAGAGCACACAGGGCATGCTGGGGACAGGGGGTGAGCCGGGATGGAAGATCTACTGGTCAGCCAGGAAGCAGATCCCAAAGGCTCTGTGTGGCAGCCAGGGCACTGCAGAGCACAGATTCCTGTCCTGTGGGACACCTGCCACTGTGGCTGAGACTCCTGGAGCAGCATGTGGCAGCAGCACCATGGCAACTGGGCAGAGGTGTCAGGAGGAACAGGGGAGCACTGGCCCCTGGGTGCAAGGAGGCTGAGCCAAGTGTGGTGGCAGCAACATCTCAGAGCTGCCTGTGGCCTACCAAAGATGAGCTATGAAAAAAAATTATTGTTATGCTAATCGTTTGCACAAAGGTAATGAGATCTCATTTGGTGCTGTCCCCCCTCCTTGCTGCAGTGTAGCAGGGGGATATAAATAACGTTAATGGCACTATCTCAGCAAGAGACCAGGACTAACTCCTAGCTAGTCCAGCTAAAAGTAAGCCTCAGACACCTGGATCGAGTGGGGATAAAACCACAGGACAAAAAGGACAGAAAAAAGCGCTGTAAGAGAGCAAGGCTCTGGCCATAGCCCAGGAAGGTCACTTTTGCTGTCACTGTCACACCAGCCAGGTGACCAGCCAGGGGCTGGGGTCAGATCCTGGCTCAGAGGATCCCTGAGCACACAGCCCTGCACCTCCACTGCAGCTCAGCCCAACCCTCACACGGGGCTGATGGAACACAGTGCTTGGGATCTCCCCCCGCTGCTCCTCAGCACTGTGTAAACGCAGGGGTAGCACCAAACCTCTCTGGAAATGCAGCAGGAGGCTGGCAGCTCCCTTCTGTTTACAGCCAGCTCCAGCTCCTGTTAGGGACCTGCGACAAGGCATGCTGTATTTTTAGAAACAGTCTCTAGAAACCAAGGGGAACTGCACATGCAAGTGCATGAGGGGCAGGCACCAACCTCAGCTCAGCCCAGACAGTTTAGGCAGCCTGGCACCAGTGAAAAAGAAATATTGCCACCCACCAAGTCAAAATAAAGAACATGGTACTTAAATTTAACAGCAGCATGACAGACAGGTCTGCTCAGAGAAACCTCGCTTCAGGAAGGGGCTGAGGGTTTGCCCTGCGACCCAGAACTTGATGCAAGGGAGCAACAAAAATCACAACTACAAATGATACTTTAAACATCATGAAACTGTATTTTATCTCCTGAGCAGGATGGCAGGCACCTTCCCAGGAGGGAGATCCACAGAAATTTCACGTGTACAGCAATGAAACTGCTCACCAAGGCTTGACAGCCAGAGGCCAGCCTGGCAGGGACCACCTGCCTCTGGCACTGAAATGGCTCCACCACCTGCCCCCCACCACCATGAACTCTTCTCTCTTGGGTATTTACACCCCTGTTACTCGCAAACTTCTGTGTTGCCCTCGGAGATACTCCAAAAAAAGGGCTGTGCCATACATTTGCAGTCCTTTTGATCACAGATCTGGGAAAATTTTGCCCAGGTCTTGGAACATGCATCCTGGAAAACACATCCAAAGCAACCTCCTACAAAACAATTGTCATTTCTCTCGGTGCAGTTCTTTACACGTAGCTGACCCACAGCAGCTGCTCTGGGATGTGCCTTGGTGCAGATTTGTTTGCATTGGCACAGCCCAGGCAGCCCTGGCCCCGCAGCCCTCGTGTCTCTTCCTCCGCAGCAGTTTCCTGCCAAATCCATTTCTGGGGTGATGAGCTGAGGAGCAGAGCTTCTCAGGAGCAGCACTGGAATGTGAGCAGACGTTAATCCACAGCTTTCCTGAACAGACGAGTCTGGGTCTCCACACTTGGTTTCCTGCCCAGTCCCCACAAAGCTGCACCTTCTGCTGCGGCTGTGCTGAGTGTCCTCTGATGCCCCAACCCAAACCTTTTTCTATCACTGCCTTCTTGCTGCACAATTTGACATTTTCTTCATAGGCTTCCACTGCCACCCTCTCTCTGATCACGCAGTGACATTATCCTGTGTTACATCACATCACCTTGTGTGACAGGGCAGGAGATGGCCCCTCTGTCCACCTGAGGAGCAGGACACTGGACGGGGCAGGAACTGACATGACCTGAAAGCACAGGGACTCATCAATACTGCCCTAAGAGGAAAGTTTGGGAAGGCAATATACTCTGGTGGTAGCTTAATGTCACTAGGAATAATAAAATAATTAAGTCTCCCAGACTCCCTCTCCAAAGAGACTCTTGGCAGCCTTGAAGATAGAACTAATAAATCCTTCTCATAACTCAATCTCAAACAGCGCCAGCAGAGCACGAGGGATTTTGATGTCCCTTCCCTCTCCCCCACTCACAGGGCCCTGTGAGCACCTGTCTTCCCCTTCTCCAGCAGCTGCTGTGCTGCACCAGAGCCTGGGAACACTGGCTCTGGGAGGAGCACCAGCACCTGGCTGGGCCTGTGGCACACTGCTGCCAGAGCTGCCCCAAGGGAGCAGACCTCCTCCAGCCCCAGGTGGTGCAGCTGGTAGAAGAAACATCCTGTTTTTCCCTTCTGCTTCTCCCTTCTTTTGAGTTCTCTGGGTACCAGGCCACAGCAGCACTGCTGCTCCTTTGCTGTTTGCTCAGCCCCGAGGAGGTTTGATGCTCTTTTACACACACACCCCAGCCCTGCCCCAGTCAAACGAGCATCTGCACTGCTTGTGCTGAGAGGGGCATCCCTGCGGGGCTGCAGGAGGCTCCTCTGTCCTCAGGCAATCCTCAAATCCTAACGTTTTGCTTTTGATTGTTAGGATTTTCAGATCTTCTATCACCCATTACATGCTCTTAATGAGACCTGCAGAGAGTTCAGACATCTGCTTGCCGAGCCCCTGAGCCCTGGAGTCAGTAGCTCCATGTGTCACTCCATATTACCTAGCACTCCTTCCAGGTTGCTGGGCTTGGATGCTTTCTACCATCCCTTCCAACACAATTAGCATTTCTTGGAGAACATGATTTCGGGCTTTAATTGCCTTTGATCCTGCTGTAATCAATTTTCTCAGGCCAGAAAGACCCAGCAAAAGGCGAGCTAGGAATCAGAGGATGGTGAATGCCTTTGGAATGGCACCAGTTGGATCTTAACGTGGTCAGCTTCTCTAATTCCATCTCTTCCTTTAGTCACTCCATATGATGGGCATCTTCTTCCTGGATGCTCACTGTTGTCACCACAGGTGACATTTATTCCTTGTCTGATGAATCAGGAAGTGTGTGAGAGCTCCCTCAGACAGAGCAGAAGCAGGGGAAGAGAGGCACCAACAGGCAATGGCGCTGATTCCAAAAGCCCAATTTGCCAGTCCCCTGTAACTCAGTTATGTGCCTGCAGGGACACCCTTGGTATTTGCATCTCCATCCCAGAGCCAGCACAGCTCTGTGTGTCACACCCAGGACCCCTGGAGGGAGCCCCAACAGCGCTGGTCCCCACCCTGCTGAGAACAAGTCACTCCCCGAGGTGGCTTTCTGGTGCCACAAAGGAGCTGAGTGAAGTAGGTGCAAAGCAAAAGAGAGGATTTAAGCAAGAGCTTAGAGAATCCATCTGTGCTGACATCCATCAGTGTCACTCCTTGGCTGCAAAAGCAATATTTATAAATCACGTTTCAAAACTGGCTACAAATTTGTACAAAGAAACAGATGGGCTGGTGGTAGCAGTTTGTCACCACTGATATTTGCACGGGGGAGTAGAGACAAGTGCATGGTGAAGAGGGGTGAATGCAGGAGAGGCAAGCAATGGGGAACACAAGGGAGGATGCAGCAAGGTCACCTACGAGAGCAGGGGCAAAGGTGAGTGTACCCAGGGCAGGAGATGGACTGGAGAAGGGGGCAGAAATCAAAGGGAGGGAGATGGCACCAAGGCACCCTGCTAGAAATGAGGGGTGCCTCCATCTGCCACCTCCACTTGCTGTGGAAGACAGCACTGCTCAGCAACTGGGAGGGTCTCCAAACACTCTGGGAATAACCCTGCAGCAACAACATTTGTTTTCCCAAGAGCAGGAGGCGGGAGGTGATGCCAGCTTTTACTCATTTTATGCAGTGTTACACCACACAAAAAGCTCCAGGGATCGTTTAGCACAAAGAGTTACCCCGTGCCACAAGAGCCTCATGCCACTCAAGAGAGCAGCAGCTCTGGAGGAGATGGTGGCACACGTGTCCTGCACTTACTGCAAGGCCAGCTCTTGGGCCACTGCTGGTGGACCCCCACACAGAGCCAGGGAGCTGAGCAGCCCCTGCCAAGCCCATACACCCCAGCCACGTGCCCTGCCAGACGAGCAAAACAGCAGTGGTGGCTCTGGGATGGCAGCAGGGCCGTGGCACACACCCTGGCCCAGAGCTGGGAGCCTCACGAGGGTCTGGGCAGGAATGGACACCCTGGTGCAGCTCAGCGTGTTCAAGCACATTTTCATAAGGTTTTTCAAAGAAAGTGAGGGAAGTTAATCGCTGGGTGTGGGGCAAAATCTTGCAGAGGATTAAAGCCTGTTTACATGATAAGAAGCAAAGGTCTTCTGAACAGCTGCCCTTGAGCAGAGGGGGAGGGACTCAGGTCAGGGACAGCTGTGCTACTCAGGACACAAAGCAATATCCAGCTGTGCTACCATCACATCTGAAGCTTTTCCATTTTAACTATCCCTAATAATGCTGAACCAAACTGAGCAAGCAGGATCTTACGTCAGCAGAAGGCTCCTGTGATAAGCTCAGAACAAACTAAACCAGGCTTTTGACAGATAAAGCTGCAAAAGCAGAGAAAGAGAATGATTTTAAAAGAAAACCCAACCAAAACCAAAGAAGAATTTCAATGTGATCTGCTGGCCCCCGTGACAAGCACATGCTCATGTGGCTGGAGAAGGTCCCAGTACCTGCAGGGGACCCCGCTGTACCTACTGCTACAATCAGCACCTAATTCCCCCTTAAACACCAACAAAAAATAGGAAGCATCCTGATAACTACTTTTCTGGATTGTTACTGTCTACACAAATGCAGCCTGCAAAGTCCAACAGCTGCCAGGCTCAGCCAGCAGAACCTGCCTGGCACCCCATCACTCACAGCAGCATTGAGTCACCCAGGATGAGCTGCTGAGCTCAGGGATGCAGAGAACCCCAGAGCTGCCCAGAGCAACAGACAGGCTCTGCCTGGCTGCCTGTCCCAAAGGAGAGGACAAGCCCCAGGAAACAGAGGAACTGCACCCCAGACAGGGAACCAGGCTGTGCAGGCTGAGTCCCAGAGAACCCACTGTGCCTGTGGGCTACAGCCTGGCCCCACTGCCTCCCAGGGCTCTGGAGCTGCTCCCATTTGTCAGGGGCACAGTGCTGGCCACCCACATGGCAGCCCCAAGATGACCCACGCTCCAGGATTTACCTTGGAGAGGAATAAATTGTAACGCTCAAAACGGGAGTGTGCTCTTCTATAAATCCACATCATCTCCTTGCCTGCAGGCAGGTTGGAGATTTCCCATCAAGAAAGGGACTGAGAGCCCTGAAAATACCAAAGGCTTAACCAGGCAGCATGAGAGGAGCTTTGTAGCTGCTTGCAGCGAGGAATAAAGCTGGCAGAGCCTCCTTGAGGAAATCCAAGCTGTTAGCTGATCAGTCCCACCATTTCAGGTTGACAAGAAGCTCTGCAACATGCCCAAAGCACCCCAAGCTGGCACAGAGGGACCATAACCCACTTCCCTGTCCATGGCCAGAGGTGCTGCTCAGCCTGAAGGATGCTGGGCCAAGGGTACAGCAGGACTCACCCTGGATATCCAGCAAAGAGAAATGGTGGTTGTTGGTGGCTTCAGGTGCCAGAGTGAAGTAGAAACGGTGGCCGCTCTGAGGCTCGTCCCGGTCCACAACGCTGATTGTCTGGATCAGCTGTGGGGAGAAGACAGAGGTGAGCACCAGAGCTGCTCCCACAGCCTCTCCCAGGGTCCCACGTGCAGGGTTCAGCCAGCAGCATCGCTGGCTGCAGCCAGAGAGGGATGAGCCTTTAGCCCTGCAGACAGGCTCAGTGGGACAGCAGAGTGACTCCCACTGTGACAGAGGCTGCACAGGAAAACTCTCGGGCAGAAGGGCAGATGGGCAAGCTGGCACTAGTCCAGAGTGCTGTCTGCAGCCCAAGACCAGGGCTGGGGGTCTCTCACTACCTGGCCTGGCTTGGCATCCTCACACACAGCGGCTTCATAGGGGGTGGCAAGCTCAGGTGGATTGTCATTGACGTCCAGGATTCGGATACGGAGAGAGGCCCTCGACACCTGGGAGTGGTTATCTGAAACAGAAAGAGAAGCAGGGCTTCAGGACAAAGGGACAGCTGCTGCTATCAGGGAGCAAACCTCCTCATCCCCATCTGTCCAGTGGCCATCGTGGCTGCTGCCAGCACTGCACCTCTGCCTGCCTGTGGCACAGACTGTCTGCAGTACAGCAGCACCTGGAGAGCATGCTTCAGCCCCACTGCACCCTACAAAGAAGCCCAACCACTGGGCTGTGTGCAAGGACTCCTGAAACACCACCTGATCCATCCCTGGAAAACTGGAGCAGCCCAAAACTAGTCACAGCCATAAGGGTCAGGATCTGTGCTCCAGCAAAACAGCACCAAGATGGGACAGAAAACTGGGATGTGAGATCCCCCTCTGTCCTGGATCCTGATCCATAGGCACTCCAGACTGGCAGCAACATCCCAGGGCCAAGCAAATGGAGCTGGGATGTGAAACAGCTGCATCAGCTAAGGGCACAGGTTGGTGGTGAGATCTGTCTGTCCACCCCTGCTGTGCCCAGGTGACCCAGGGTCAGATATGCCCCACTGGGGCACGAGGCTCTTGCCCAGGGACTCAGGCCTCTTGTTCTGACACTGGGCTTTTATTGCCACTGCAGCCTGAACTTAACACAGCACTGTCCACCAGCTGGCATGAGGGGGGCACACAGTAAGACAGAGGGCAGCCCTCTCACCCTGGCACCCACCAGCCCAGCCTCACACAGGCAGTGGTTGTGGGGACCCCCCTCCCTTGGGGTTCACTCTGCCCGTGGGATGGGGCAGCATTTACACCTCCACTGACTGCGGCGTCACTGAGCTGCACACACACTGCTGAGGGACACCGAGCCCGAGCCACAGGATTATAAATCACTCTGGAGGGCCTGATGTTTGCTGAAGCACCTCATATATCTCCAGAAATGAGAACTCCCTCTTACTCCATCTCCTTTGTTTTACCCAGAGGCTGCACCTGTGACAGAACTAATGCTTCTCTCCACACTCAGGCAGGAGTTCTGCTGCCTGCTTGTCTATAACATTAATAGTGGCCCCAACTGATCAGGTGGGGGGAGGACCCAGGGGAGAGGAGATTTAGCGCTGCTCCATAATTAGCCAGGAATGTAAGCCCCCTCCCCAGAGCTGCCTTCACCCGGTTCTCACGTTATCACTCCCTCTCACCCAGACCAGCTGCTCTGGTGATTAGATAGTTGTTTTTGGGGGAGGGAGGCTGAAGTCGTGACTAAAAGCCTAGAACTATGTGTTATTTTAAAAGGCATATTGGTGCAGTGAAATTGCTTGCAGGAAGAGAGAAAGGGGGAGGCAGTGGGGTGAGAAGGGAGCCTGGGGAGGCGGCGGGGTGTGTGCTTGATGCCCACAAATGAGCAGGAAGAAAAAGGGTTCAGTTCCTGCAAGAAGGAGGATGACAGCGTTTCATCACCCCCTCCTCAACCCACAAGGAAGATGGATAACCATCCCTGCTGCTCAGCTCTGGAGCAGGCTGAGATTGCTGAGAGAAAGACAAGGAAAGGAGGAGAGGAGAGGGAGAGGGAGAGGAGAGGCTGAAAGGAGGAAGAATCCAGGACCACAGCTCTTCCTCTTCCCAACTGTAACCCAGAGGAGGAGCTGCTCCCTTGGTGCCCCACAGTGTGGGAGCCAGCTGAGAGAAGGAGCCCATCCCAGCACTGCCAAACCCAGGACCTGCAGGGATGGTGCGTGTCAGCTCTGGACATCCAGGTGATCCTGAGCAAAGCAGCTTCTCTTCGAGACCACCTCCCCCAGCCCCTGAGGAGGGATGTGATCAGCGTGTTCAGAGCCAGGCAGAAGCACAGGGCTGTGCTTGGCCCCAGCTGTCAGCAGCAGTGTCACATCCCTGCCTCAGCACAGAGCTGGGACCTGCACCGACCCCTCCCCACCAGGGCTCACCTCCCGCTTCCCTGGGCACAGCTCTGAGACAGTGACCTTTCTAAATGCACCCTGTCATACAAAAACTCTCCTTCTGCCCTTCCAAAACTGCTGAAGCCTGAGGCTCGTGCTCACTCCTGGCTCAGTGACGGGGTCAAAATTTGACGTGTCCAGGAACATCGAGGTTAGAAAGGCAACTGCTGCACTCTTGTCCACCTTTCCAGTGAGGCACACATCAGCTTCTTTTTATTTTGGCTGCACAATGTACATTTGAAGGTTTCTCAATGCTTTATCAACTTCCCTCATCCTTTGAGCCAGTACCTGGATTTACAGGTGGAAAAAATGAAAAATGGTCGGATGTATTTGAAAGAAGTTATCTTCAAAACATCTGAAATATGTTTTTTGTAACAGTGGCATAAACTGGTATTATGATGGTCAGAAGTGTGATTGAGATTGTTGGAGCACACCTGTGATGAAAGGCACAAAGCACTCAACTAACACAGGATTCACATCAGCCAGGTCAGAAGCTCTGGCAGTGCTGTGTGCACGCACCCAAAATGCCCCAGCACAGGAGCAAAGGCTCAGCAGGCAGGTCCCAGCGCCAGAGAGAGAAGCAGAGAGGGTGGGTGAGGCTGAGGTGAGGAGCACCTGGCCCGTGACTGAGGCCAGGGCAGCACGTGCTGGCTGAGGGCAACCGGAAGGGAAAAGAACCATCTTCCACTGCAGCGTCTCTCCTCGGTATTCCAGCTCAGCTGACTGACATGCAAATTAGTTTAATTATTTCTTCTTCTAAAATAAATTATATTTTGCAGTGGCTGCAATATGTTGTGTCAGGCAAAATTACATTCAATATTTTTAAACTAATTGATGTCAGCCTTGAGAAAACCTGATTGACAGCAGCGAGAAAACTAGGCTGCTACCTAAACGCTTCCCTAAATTAAAATTAAACATGCCGTTTTTCTGCATTTCCTTCAGGAGTTGGAATGCTATTAATCTGAAAAGACTGAGGAAAGAGACATGGAAAATACACAGAACAAGAGGGAGATGCTGGAAGCACAGCCGTGCAGTACGGGAGCTCCAGGCTGGTGACTGGCAGCTGCCTTTGCCAGCATGGGAGGAATTATTTCAGAGCCACTGGAGCTGCTGTGCTGTGGGACAGAGCTCTGCCCAGTGCTTCCACCCTGCTGCATCTGTGCCTGCCTCAACACAGCCACCAGCATGGCTCAGGGAGAGCCAGCCAGACACCCCTGCCAGGGTGCCATGTAGCAGAACAGGCAGCACTGGGACAGGACTGGCAGGGAGGGGACAGGCAGTGCCAGGATTCTGGAGCATGAGATGGTCACAGTCCTGCTGCACAGCAACCCTCAGGCCAAGAGTTAAGTGCTTCAGGGGAATCTTCATGCACATCCCAGAGCATTTCCTTATTTAATTAATCATGTAAGTAAGTAATCTCAACAGGACAATATTCTCCTCTTAAATATTCAGATGCAAAACACCAACTTGGCCTCTCCCTGAGCTGCAGACAGCTGAGTGCTCACAGGACTGACACTGAGCAGCTCTGGGCAACTGCTCAGCAATGCTGTAGCCCTGCAGCAGCTCCCAGGGATGGGAAGGGATTGACAGTGTTTGGTCACCCCTGTTGTGGCAGGAAAGGAGGGGACTTGTGGCTTCTGCTGTGCCAGGATCCAGCCATTACTCCTCCAGACCTTCACACAATCTCACAATAAAACACTTTGCATTTTTCCACCCCAAGATTTCCTGTGGAGCCAAATCCAGCAAATGCCATTTTCCCTCCTCCCCACACACACCCCAAAGTGCTCAGCAGCTTCTCTGGGTCTGAGGAGAGCCCAGGGGAGCGTGGGCTGCCACATGCAGCTGCAGCACCTGCAGCAGACCAGCTCAGGGACACTGCTGGGCACAGCATCCAATCTGCTCTGCTGTGTGGAGACCAAATTGATACAATACTGAATTCAAATTTTTTACATTAGTAAGGAAGTCAGAAGAGGCAGGAGTGGAATTTATTCCTCACCATCTCAGCAAATTGGAAGAAGAAAATGCAGACCAGAAGAGTGGGATGTGCCACTCTGCTCTCTAGCCCTGATGCCACGGCTCTGGGCACAGGGTGGGTTTGCAGCTCTTGTGCAGCTCCTGCCTGCAAACCAGAGTGCTGATGCCAAGGACAGAGCAGGGGCATGCCAGGGGTATGACTTGTCTGACAGGTGGCTGTATCAGAGGCTGCAGCTGAAAGCGTGGCTCCCAGCTGAGGCAAAGCAAAGTGGAAGCAGCAGTTAAGCCAAGTAACATAAATGGCTCTCACCTCTCCTGAGTCCTACCCAAACTCAGCAGCATGAGAGTCATTAAATTGCATCCAAACACAATGCTCTGATTAAAGCCAGTCTCCAGCAGGAAGATTTATCATCTCAATTACCAGCAGTGGACACAGCAGTCAAGGCCTCATCATTTTACATGAGCAAAGAGGAAAACAGGAAGAGAATCACTAATATTAGCCCAAGGAAGGTAAACAGCTTGCGAGGGAGATGAAGATTTATCTGTGGAAACGCTTGGCCTGGTCCCAGGCCAGATTAGCTGAACAGCCCCCGTGGCTCCTGCCACGCTGCAGGCCAAACTCTGCTGGTCCCTGGCTGGCCCGGGCAGCTCCTGCTGGGGTGCCTGCCTGGGGCACAGCTGCCCTTGCTCCTCACAGCCCCTCATGGGCACAGCTGGGCACCTCCTGCAGCTTTTCTTACTGCTCTCAGGGGCAAATACCCTCTGCTATCCACAGGTGGGAAATAACCTGGACACGGTCTCTGCTGCAGACAGGGCTCTCCAGGGAGGGGGCACAGCTCTGTTTGGAGCTGCTGAGCCCCACAGTGTTGCCAGTGGCACATGTGTTGCCAGTGGGGCTGGCCAGTGGCACAGCCAGTGGGGCTGGCTGTCCTTCAGCCTGCAGTGGTCAAACCCTGCCCAGGACAGCCCTGACAGCAGACCAGGAGGGCAGCTCAAGGAGGCCACAGGGATGAAATATCTTGTTGCAATGCACTCCAGGCCTTGTGAGTGGTGCCATGGGAATCAAGTGGGTCCTGGCACCATGGGAATCAAGTGGGTACAGTTTCCCACCAGCCCCAGTGAGCAGAGGCACCAGACACAGTCCTGGGCAGCAGGACTCCCACTGGGTTTGTTCCATTCCTCCTGCCAAGTTTACATCTCACTGAGGAAAGAGAATATATGACCACTTGCCTCTGATGCAGCTGGTGACGCCTGGCCCTGTGGCATCCAGCTCTGTGAGCACCACAGAGCCCTGCCAGCACCCAGACACCTCTGTGCCAGGAACTGCAGGGCTGGACGTGCAGCTGCCAGCCCCCAGCTGCCCTGCATTCCCCACTCCATGGCTGAGCCCCCTGTGCCAGGCACAGCCTGCCAGCTGCTGCACAGCCCTGCTCCCAACCCCTCCATCACTCACAAGGCTGCACCTTTACAACTGCCCTTTCCGCCAGAGGATTCAGACATAAATTGTACTTTAAATTCAATATCAGTCATTAATATTTCATGATTACAAAACGTTAAGGATAATGTCACTGGGAAGAATGTCTGGGCAGCTAAAATGGATGAGTCAGAGCTCACCATGGGAGAAGTCAGAGCACTGAAGAGTCTCCCTGGCTTTTGAAGCAATGCAGCCTGACAGGCTTCCCTGCCAGAGGGGAGCTGCAGCATTTACTGACTTGTTCTGAAATCCTAGCCACAGCGTGTAAATATTGTCCTTCTGATTCTTGTCACCTCACGTTTCCTCTGGATGCTGAGCTGTGCTGCAGTGCTGCCATCCCCTCCTCCCTGCAGAGCCTCCCCTTGGAGCCCCCAGAGCAGGTCACAGCTGGGCAATGGACTGCCACCCTGGGATGTGACCAGGCAGGGCTCACAACAGTGCCACAGCCAGAGAGTGCAGGGGTCACTCCCGTCACCCAGCACAGAGCTCTGGCACAGAGAGGGACTGGGATGCACCTCGGAGCCACAGATATCCCTTCTGGGCACTGGGGGCTGGCCAGGGTCACTGACCCTTCCTCTCCAGGGCTACAGGGCCTGTGATCTGACCTCTAGGACCCAAGTCAGGCCTTGCCATGGCTCCTTGAACATGAACAGCAGTATCAACACTGAAGAATGAGCAAAGGAACACTCAGAACAAAGCCTGGAGAAGGCTCCTGCCCACAGACAGACAGGTCTGGGCACATGGCAGCAGGGGTAAGGAGGTGCTCTGCAGCCACAGCAGCTCCCTGGTACCCACTGCAGGGCAGAGGGAGAGCAGCAGGGCCCAGGCTACCCTGGTGAGTTGCACATCCAAAATATGGAAAACTTTGAAGAATATGTCAATGCCTTTCTGTTTCCCAGCATGCTGACTGGGACATTCTGCTCCCACAGTCCCTTCCCACTGCTGCAGCCCCAGGAACTCCCATCCATTCCTTCTGTGCCCATCCTGCACCACCCCAAGCACACAGGAGGCATCCAGAGCTACACACCCAGGTGCAGGTACAGTCTGTGAGTCCCAAACACTGAGAGCTCTGGCAGAAGCAAGTGCTGCCAGTCCTGCAGTGCCACAGGGCTCCAGCTGAGGGGACATCCAAGCATGGCACAGGACTGATCAGGGGGGAGGCAGGTGATGTGAGCACAGCCCCCCGGGAGCCCCAGTGCTGCTCAGCAGGTGTGAGTGCAGGCAGCAAGCTGTGCAGGGATGACTGGCAGAGATGGCGCAGAGATAACACAAATTTGATTAGTGTTCATCAAATATACTATTCGACCATGCTCCCTTATTAATGCTCGACTCAGGAAGAGTATTTTTAGGTTGTCTAGGGAGATGTCAGACTCAGTGCTGCTGCATTTATTTTTCTTTTTTATTTCAGTGTTGATTAACACTCGCGTCTTGGCCACCCCTGCAATGACAGCACCCATATTCCTCCTCCTGCCCCACAGACTCTGCTCCACACAGCATTCCTCCACCTCACCTGCTTCCATGGCCAGGACAGTGATGTTGTGCCACCCTGCTGTCTCCCTGTCCAGGACCTTTCCTGTCACAATAGCTCCTGTTTTGGCATCGATGTCAAAGATCCTCTCGGTGTCCGTGCTGCGGTCGATGGCGTACCTGTGACCAGGCAAAAGGGGAAACCATCAGCAGCTGGAGGTGCCCACCCTTACCACCAGCCCCAGGGGTACTGGAATCCACCACCACAGGCCCTGGGTCACTGCTCTCCTCATCCTGTGTTGCAGCATGGTACACAAAGGCCACGTTTCTACCGGGCTGCAAGCCCAGAGCCTTCAAATAAAATTAAAGTGTGGCTTTTGGTGCATAAAGTGGAACTGTGCACAGACTTTGGACAAGGGGAAAAACCTGCTCTGATGGGAACCTTATGCTTTGGATAGACAGAGCAATACAAAAATTGAGGGCTGTAACTTCACCTGTGACTCTGGGAAGTTTCAGCAGTGTAGATTCAGGAAAAGCATGAATCAAACTGAAGGTGGGCACCCCTGCTCGAGGAGCCCATCTCACCTACCACCCTCTGCTGCTCCTGCCACTGCATCCACCCACGTGACACACCCAGAGGGCATGAGACAGCAGGCTGTAAGCCACATCTGCAGACACCTCAACTGCAGCTACAGCTGGCACAAAGCACAGGGTCTGGACTGGCCATGTGCAACTGGTGCAGCAATCCTGGCAGCAGGGCAGTGGGCAGCAGCCAGCATCCCCCCAACGACACAGCACATGATGCCAGCAGCCCCAAGATTTGCCCTGTTTCAGGCTTCCTGTCCCACAAGGAACAGGCTGATGAGCTCCTCCAGCTCTGGCTGTGTCCAGCTGCTCAGCAGAGACTCTTCACAGGCAGCTCTCACCCTGCTCATTCTGCTGCTTCAGTGCTGCCCCAGACAGCCCCTCCTGAGGGTGGAACACATGCACTCCCTGGGCCACCAGAGAGCACCATTCCCACTTCTCCCTAAGGACAACAGCTCATGAGGAGTCAGACACCAGGTTTGGCCCTGAGCCTTCACCAGGACACCCCAAATCCACGCATGTCCCAGTGGTCTGTCCTGCATTTCCAACCATTACACATGGAATGGAGCAAGCCAACATAAATCAGGGCACAATGAGGTGTGAGCTCCTGAAGGAAAGGGTTGGAAGGGAAGTCTGATCCAGATGAGGCTGTTGAGCACAGCCATAGCACAAATAACACAAACCACCACTGCAATCAGAATTAGAAATCCAGAAGGCCTGCAAATCACAAACAATACAGCATAATGTTATTGTGTACAGCATCTTTCACACACACTGAATCCCAGAGTGCTTCACAGAATTAAATAATACAAGACAGCAAAGAGTACAAAGGATAAATTACAAAATGCAGGGCTGTGAATAAATTAAAGCCTTCAGTCACATGTCCAACCACAGAAGGAAGATAAATGTAGGGACAAAGCAAACTGGAAGGCTGGTGAGGTAGGACTGAGAGGCCACACTGGACAGGAGCAGAGCAGGGCAGGCTCCAGGCTAGCAGCAGGCTCAGGACAGGGGAAGTGCCCCATGTGCTGCAGAGCAGTTTTCCAGCTGTGGGTCCACCACCCACATGGCTCACAGCCAAGAACATCAGCTCACCTTCTTCACGACCAGAGATGGCCCCGTGATGTTCTGCCCCATGCCCTGGGATGGGACCAGCTGCAGATGGGAGTGCCTCTGGCAGAGCCCCTGCCCATCCAAACAGCTCCAGCTCTGATGGAGGCACACAAAAAGGCATTCCTACAGTCTAACCTGTTATACAGTACCAGATTACATTTCCTAGCTCTCTCCCATTCAGACAGATGGGGAGATGAGAGAGTAAATACAACAGCACTTGCTTGTAGCCAAATAAAAACATCCAAAAGTCACTATCTAAATTCACTTGCACCCAGCCACCATCTAGTACTTATGCAGCTGAATTCTTCCTACCCCCTTGCATCTAGAGGTGATGGACATCTCTCAGTACAAGCTCATATATCTCAAAACCAGCTACTAGGAACTGCCTGCATTTTCTGCCCCAACTCCCAGCTGGCAGCAGAGCTTTTACAGGCACACAGCCAACTCCAAAAGGGACTGTGACATTGTGCTGGCATGTACTGCAGCCTCTCATCCACTCTCTGTTCACTCACTGCAAAGGAAAAGGAGAGGTATGGCCTCTCTGAATTGTACAAATCAGTCCCCTGTTCTCCTGGAAAGAGGACCAGAAACTGGGATGACAACACCTAATACCTTTCCAATAGCATAACTAATTCTACATCACTGCTTCCATTGTTCTCCCACACCCCCTGACCTCCAACATGTCCTGCCTTCCACTCCACTTTTTCATGCTGTTAAGTTCAAGATGGTACTTCACCCTCCCCATGGCTTCCCTGCCTCTCAGAGAAGCACATGCCTGTTTTGATCACACTTCTGTCATAAACAGAGACATCTGCAAAAAAAAAAATAAAAAAAAAATCCACACAGAAAAACCCAGTTAGTGATGGGAGCCACCCCCAAGCCTGGACACATCTGACAGGGCTGCCTGACCAGCCAGAGGGCAGGAGGATGGCAGGGAGCGTTCAGGGTAATGCCACTGGGATTCTGTTCTTATGCTTCTCATAGCTTTGCTGCTGAGGCTGTCTTCTGTCCCTTCTGAATAGTCTGTAAAGGACATGCTGCCTGTACCCCATGGCCAGGCACAAACCAAACCACAACTCTGATCCCTTTGCCACCACTGCTACAGAGAAAAGTCACCTTCTCAGTGTGCCCCAGGGAAGGAGACAGAGCTCAGCACACTGCCTTGGCAGGACTGACTCAGTGCCACTCACTGTGCCCGTGGAGTGGCCAGTCCAGGTGGCTCTGCAGCTCTCTGCAGGTGCCAGAGGCCATGGATGCTCTGGAGTGCTTGGCTGCTGTGGGAGCTGGGGACTGGGAGGGTGGTACAGGGATGTCCATCAAGCCCTGCAAGCCACAGCCATAAGCTGCTCAGAGCTGCAGATCTCACAACAGAGCTCACCTTCCAACAGCTTCCATCTCACCCCATGCTGGAGTGAGCCGTGCTTTGCTGTGCTCACTCACATCACTTTGTGCAATACAGCCTCCACCACCAGCCTCTCCACCTCTCCTCCAGCTTCATATTCACCCATCCCACTGCAGTCAAACAGTGCTTCTCACCTGGGAAGAGGCAGCATTTAATCCCTCCTCCTCCAGGTACTCAGAGACAGGACCTATGCTCATCTCTCCTGCAGCTGCCTGGTGCTCTAGAACTGCAGTCCCCAGCTCTGATTGGGATGCAGACCTTGTACTCCATTTCCCTCTCTTTCTGCTGGCACTGCCTGTTGGTTTGGATGCTACAAGTGACTGTTTAATTTCAACAGCTTTCTCGGTGCTCATCTTTCCCATGAATGCGTTTCTCAAGCAGTTTGTTTCACTTTTCCCCTGAACACAACAAGAAGCACATTTTATGCCACGTGTTTTGTTAATAGGGAGCTTTTCAAACACTGTATGAAAAGCTTTTTGTTGTGTTTGTTTTTTCCTCCTCTCCCTTTTGTATTGAAGCAGGTTGTAGTTCTTGCTGTGCTGTTGGAGTCTATAAAATGCCCATGTCCAACACGTGTCTCCAGATTTTGTGAATGCCAGACAAGAATATCTCTGAGAACCTTAAATCCCAAGCAACATCTTCCCAGTGCTGATAAAGCCTGGAATGCACACAATCAGAGCACAGGCTCCCACTGCAGAGAGAGAAACAAAAGGCTCCATACAAACAGCCTCACACACACAGACAGTCTATCACTGTATTACTTCATACAATGGCTCAGCTGAGAAAAACTGCACTACTCCCAGAAAACACACAGCTAAAGCCAAAAAGGCAACTGGAAACGATTTTTTTTTTTCTGAAAAGAAACAGTTCCAGCCTTTGATAGGCAAAAAACCCCCTCAAGGATGGACTAAAATAAAAAGAACCGGACCTTTAGGAGGGCATTGCCCACACTGGTACCACAGAAGGTTTTGTGCCCCACAGAGGGTTCATACAGCTGCTTGGCCATGCTGAGCTCAGCACGGCTCCCTGCTCGTGCACTGGTGTCACTGGGAGGGTGTCCTTCTCTCAGAGATGGGCTGATCTCCAGGTGCCTCCTCACACCCAAGGCAAGCAGCTGCCAGGGGCTCTGCAGGCAGAGCGCAGCTGGGGTGAGGCAGTGAGGAGGTGCCTCAGGGACACCCCTTCAATCCTCCATCTTTGAAACAGGTCACTGCGACCCACTCCAGCTTCTGGGAAGGGATTTGGTCTCAAACAAAGTCGCTGCATCCTTGGGACACGTGGATCTCCAGGAGGGCAGGGGAACATCAGGCTGGAATGCACCTCTAGCAGTTGCTTTGGGCAGCGCAGCAGGAGTCGCACAGCCTTGTTCCTGCTGGCCTGGGGCTGAAAACAAAAAGCCAAGGGCACCTCCCTTCCCGTTTGGCTAAAAATACCTCCTAAACCTCGTTACTGGCAGCCTGGTGTCAGCAGGACCTGGAAACCCTGACAGAGCTGATTTCTGCTCTGCTGTCTCTGGCAATCCTTGTTCTTTCCTGCCTCAAGGGGAGAGTGCATCTCGACATGACAGAAGTAGTGGCTGTCCCTTATTCACAGGCAGAACCAACACACCCGAGTCCGGGAGAGCAGCCCCGGCAGCAGCCCAGCTGTGCCTCTGCTCCCACCGCTGGCAGATGAGGAGCTGGAAGTTAAAGGGATCCACTGAACTGCAGCAACTTCAAAGGGCTCATACCAACTTCAAGGCACCCAGGATCAAATGCTGGTCATGCCGTCAGGACCAGATGCTCTCTAATGTATCAGAGGTGAAGTACAAGTGCTGGCTTCTTGTGACTGTACTTCCAAGCAGCACACCTGAAACGAGAAGTGACTTATTGCCTCTCCTGCTGACGGATTAGTGTCACATCCTGGTGCTGCAGGGTGCTGCCATTAATGTCTGTGCACTGCTTTGAAGCTGTTAACAGCTGCCTACGCAGCAAAGTATTTTATTAAATTACCTGGCTAGCCAGAGGACAGGGAAGCAGGAGGGATCCAACTCTACCTTCCTCTTGCATTGGTGCTGCATCAGCACGACCAATATCACCCTGCAGCTGCACTGGGTACATGTTAAATGTCTCTGAAGGCTCACCCTGCTGCACTGCCACTGCTCATGACAGCAGGGACTGCCAGCACCAGAGAGTGAAGGGATGCACCAAGTCCCACAGGGCAGCACGGGGGACACAGGATGAGCTCCCTGCCTGGGGATAGCTGGAGGCAGGACACGTATTTGAATGCATCAACCCTGCCAAGGGAGAACACATGGCAATTCCCAAGCTGCAGCAGATGCCTGGGAGTCCTGTTGGCTGGGTCCTTGTGTCTGAGCACGAGGCATTGCCTTGCCAGCACTGAGCTCACTGTAGGAGAGACTCCCAAAGCGAAGTTTGGGCTCTCACCATCTCGTTCCTGCCCAGTACTTGAATCTGCTTCTCTCTGGTCCAAGTCTCCAGTGCCTTCTGTACAGCATTAAGAGCTTCCCTTCACTGCTTTCTTTTGGTCTGTCTGCAAACAATGCAGCAAGCTCCACAGGGAAGCAGCACAAAGAACAAGAAAAAAACAAGAATAAGAATAGTTCTGTCCCCAAGGTCCCTTTTCTACAATTACAGATCAGAAAATAAAATCCATGTTCTGCAGCACTGCTAGAAACAGTCAAGTGAAAAAGCACATGCACATGTGCACACACACAGGTGTGTGGACACACCACTCTCCTGAAGGGTGTGTGCTGGCAGACACGTGCTCAGGGGCAACAAAAAAAGAAATCAGGCATGAAAGCCTGACTGAAGAGGGACTGGAGAGTCACACGATGAGGTGAGCAGAGGTATGTTGAGAACACATTCAGCACTCAGCAGCCACTAGTGCAAGTGGTGCAGCACTCACATACACAGTTCCTGGCACACCAAGGCTGATTTCATTCACATTCCCCCCAAAGTCAACTTTGAGCATCCAGCTTTGTGACACAGTACTCTCTGCTAGCTGCCAGGCATCTGTAGATGGCAGCTTTCCATGTGTAAATGCATTTCTGAGCTTTCTAATCATCATAGTCTTTGCACGAGGATCAGGAGATCCTCCTCACCCCACCGTGAAACAGAAACCCATGGCTGCACAGCACCGAGCTCAGTGCCCCAAACAGGCACTGGGGGATATCACTGAATGCAACCAAGTGCTGTAACTGAGCCTTCTCTGGCCTGTCCCCTCCACCCCACATCCCCATCCCTGTCCTTCCCAGTCTCTTGCTGGGGGCTGACTCCCTGCAGAGCTCCCAGTCACAGCCAGTGCTGCTCCCTGGAAGTGAGCGGCTCCACGGGCGCCTGCAGCCCCGCCGGCACCTGGCACCAGAACACACATTTCAAGGAAATTTTCCACACGTTGAGGATGTTTTCTGAACACCAGATTTCCAACCCAACTGCTCGTGACTCAGGCCAGTTGGCAGGGCCAGAAGGCTGCTTTGTGCCTTAGGTAATAACAATTTAACAAGGTAACAATCTCTTTAGCCACAAATTAAATGGAAATGGGAAATGTCCTGTGCAGATAAGCTGCTGCCTGGATTATGTCCCCTGCCCAAATATAAACTCCTCTGATCTTTGATCCTATGCACACATGCACGCACACAGAGCCGGGCTGCAGCTCTGCACCTCCCAAGCCTCACCTCATTTATCACCCTTCCCCACTGTCCTCCTGCCACTCCTGCTGTCAGGTACCACTGCAGATACCTCGCTGTCAGCAGCAAGGACACACAGGTATCACCCAGCCACCTTCCCTAGCACTCCCTTGAACTCACAAAGCTGTCACCTGTCAGTGACGTATCTGCCACTTGAGAGACCGCTGTGCCCGCTTGTGCTCAGGCTGCCACTCACCTGCCAGCCTCCTGTCCCACGAGACACACACACACACACTCAGACACACACTTGCCACTTTTACCTTGCACTCTCCCACCCCCTCTGCCCCAGCCACGGCCACAAGCCCTCCCAGGCCACACGTCCCTTGCAGGTGACCCCATGCCCACTGCTGGGCTGATGTGAGGTTGGGGCTTTACCGGACAGGGTGGTTCGCTGTGTCGGGGTCCAGGGCAGTGACCACCCCCACGACAGACCCAACGTGTGCATCCTCCTGGACCTCCATCAGGTTGGAGGGGGGCCGGAACTCGGGGGGCTCATCGACGTCCAGCACTGAGACCCTCACGATGGTCTGGTCCCGGAAGGTGCCCAGGTCCACGAACCGCGGGTCCACGAACTTGTTGAGGGCCTCCACCACGACAGTGTGCACTTTTTTTGACTCGTAGTCAAGAGGCTGGGACAAGGGAAGAGGGTAAGCCACAGGCAGCCCAAGGAACCCCTCTGCCGCCCCTTCCTTCACCAGAGACATCAGGGCAGCACTAGAGCCAGTAAAGCCAGCTGCTCCCAAGCAGGACCTTTGTAGCAGCCTGGGGGATTCTGCTTTGCCCTTCTGCCAGCAGCACCCACACCAAGGGGGCAGGAGGAAGCAGAAGACTCCAGCCTACTCCCCTCAGGGCCCCCAACAGGGTGCCCAAGCTGTGAGCAGCCAGGATTCACTGGGAAGACAGCACAGTGTGTGCTGCACATGAGCGAGTTTTCATCATTAATCACCCTGCTCTTATTTCTACAGGGGAGGCAAGCTGCATACAGTGGCCTTGAAGAACAATCATTCTTCCCTGCCTGCACCAAGTATTTGCTTGATTGTTTTTGCCACCAAAAGCAGATACAGTTAAAGTGCTGCTGGTCAGGTACAGGAATTAGGTGGGCATTTTTCTCCTCTAACAGGTGCTATCAATAACAGCTGTAAGCATTCCTCTCTATGCACGGTGTTTCCTCTGCACAGCTCACTGCTTCACTGCCACCCCCAAGCCACCCTAGGGGACTCCAGTAGGCACTATATGCTGCTTCTTTTCAGCATTTCCTCCCAGACACAGCCCTGTGTTTTGCCATGAAGCCAGAGCAGAGGTCTCATCTATGCTGGCACATCAGCAGGCACAAAAATGCAACTGTAACTGCTAGCGCAGCACTCAGAGCATTTTCTTCAACTCAGATTCAACAGCCGCAGTCCCCAAAGGAAAGGGTCCTCCTAGGGAGCTGTGTCCTCCCTAGTCAATCAACACTCTCACCTTCTGTACTGTGATGACAGCCTCTTGGGTGTTGCTGTCCGTGGTGACTTTGAACATCTCCACCCCTTCCTCATCCTTCACTTGATATGTCATGTCCGTGTTCTCCCCGACGTCAGAGTCCTCTGCCTTCACCCTCCCGATGGCAGTGCCCACGGGGGCCGTTTCAACAATGCTGAACTGATACATCTCTGGAGGAGGAATGGGCACCAAGGTCACTGCTTCTGCCTTTGAACAGCCCCCACCCTTCACACACTTCCCTGGGGCACCTTTGGGCTCTGAGGGTTGCTCAAACCCCACCGTGTCTACAGTCTAGAATGCCCCAACAGGAGAAATAAATACACCAGCCAAAAACAAGGGCTGAGGGAAGATAATTGGGAAGCATTGACATTCCAGGTGCTGTGTGAAGTAAGGGCTGATTTCTCTGCGTGGACACTGCCCTGCAATCAGCACTCTCAGATTTCTTGCAAAGATTCTTTGGCAATTTCTGATTTCTAGGAGATGCAGCCCAAGAGCTGAGCCTCCCCCAGCTGCAGCCCCTGCCCTGTCCTGCCTTGAGCTGCCAGACCACAGCTAGAGAGCAGAGCCCTCACAGTAGGATCACCCTGCACCTTGTCTGGGGAGGGTCCCAGATCAGACACCAGCACCAGCCACGGGCCATTAGCAGCAAGCTGGAAAGCAGAGCTGTGCTGTGACAAGGCTGCTGCCCCTGAGCAGTGCCACTGTCCTCACACTGGGGCAAGGGTGTGACAAGCAGCCAGGAGGGACCAGGCCAGCAGCCAAGTTCCTGCCCCAGCTCCCAGGGGACAGCAGCATGGTGGACCTTGCTGGCTTCCAGGGCTCAGGAAAGGGCTGGCCCTGCTCTCCTACCACACAAGCCATGCTTGCTTCCAGGCCCTGCATGGAGCAGGGATCTGGCACTCACTGTGCTGCCAGGCAGGAACACATTCAGACCCAGGCCAGGAGCTGTGTGTGCCATGGACCTTTGGTATGGTCACCCTGCCAGCAGCTGGGGTGGCCAGGCTGGCTCAGCCTGCAGGTTCCACCCCACCACCCACAGGAACAGGCCATGCCCCAGAGCCCACCCCATGGGCAGCAGGACTCACTCTGAGGGAAGCGTGGCGGGTTGTCGTTGACATCAGTGACCACGATGGTGACCGTGGTGGATCCAGACAGGCCACCCAGCTGTCCTGCCATGTCTGTGGCACGGATCACCACCTCATAGCGGTCCTGCGTCTCGCGGTCCAGGTCTGCCACGGCGGTCCGGATCACACCTGGAAACCAGCAGCACAGCTGAGCACAGGCAGGCCACAGAGCCACAGACAGGCTGCGGCTGGAAGGGGTCACTGGAGATTACTTTGGGCAAGATCCAGACCTAAACAGGATCAGCTGCATCTCCCTCTTCACACGGGGCTGATGCTCCAGTACTGCACCATCCTCACGGCCCTTCCCCAGACTCACTCTGGTAGACCCACAGAATCATGTCTGGTGTCAGGTACAGCACTTGCATCTCACCAGTGCACAGAAGAAGGCACTGTCACCTCCCTCGACTGCTGGGGACACTCTCCCCAGCCACAGCCCTGGTGCTGCTGGCTGCCTGTGCCTCAGGAACACACTGCTGGCCACAAAGAGTGTCTGCTGAACCCTCTGCAAGAGACCGCGTGAGCAAAAGCCAGCTAAGGGGAGAGAAGGGCACTGGGGAGAAGAGCAAGCCCAGGAGGTTGTCAGCCAGCCAGAAACATCCCAAAAATCCTCCCGAAGCCCAGGAATGGCCACAGGCTCAACCTGCTCCCAGCAAGTCTCCTCATGAAGCGTGAAAGAGTCCCAACTGCTGCTTTTCCTGAGGGCTACTTGCAGCTCGCACTGGGTTAAACCCTGGCACAGAGGAGGATTGTGCTTTCCTCCAGGGTGACTGGGAGGCAGGTGAAAGATCTGTGGAGGTCAGAGGGTTGGTGGGGAAGTCACAGGAAGAGAGGACTCATCCTCACCCCCATCCATCCACATGCGGGGGCTGTGCTGGGGCCAGCCTCGAGGTCTGCTCTGTAAAAACCCAGGCTGAGTCACAAAACCCCTCTGGCACACATCTGCAACAGCCCACTTATCCTGATCTGCTGAGCAGGAGCCAGGCTTGCTGCAGCACCCCTGAGAGAACAGGGGTGCCCCTGCCCAGGCTCCATCTACAAGGTGCCATGGCCCAGGCACATCTGGGGGGGACTTGCGTGATTTGGAGAATAGGGGGGTGGGCAGCACATTTCTAAAAGTCTGTCTGCACAAAATCCCTTATTTTCAAGCGTCCTTCTAAGTTAAGGAGACCAGAGATGACAAAACACATGTTCTGTGTCAGAGAATGCACTGGAGCTCAACAAAATGAATGGTATGGTAGTACTTCTTACAAAAGTAACTCTCTTAAAACCAGTGTTTATAGGTCTCCAGTACTCATCTGGGAGTGGGGAAATGACCAGGACTAAAATATAAAGGAATGTAAAACAAGAAACAAAGAGCAGTAAAAGCCTGAAAACTCTGTGCATGGCAGAAATTATCAGTCACCCATGACTGTTTCATTTAAATGGAAACAAAGTAGGGAGAAAATAATTTGAGGATGAAAGAAAGAAAGAAAAGATTCTGGTTTGACATGGCACCAGGGTCAGGAAGGAAGGAGTGCCTACATGGATACAAGGTCATTAGCACCACATTCCATCCCACTGTACCAGCAGCAGCCCATAACAGACAGGAATCAGCTTAAAATCCCCTCCAGCTCAGTTTTTTAACATTCCCACAGATTTAGACATTGGTTTATGTTTTTGTAAATCCTCTCTCTTCCAGCGTTTTCTGTTTAACTATCAGCTTTACCTCCTCCTACTGTGAACTGCAAATTCATCTCTGCTTTGTTTCACCAGTAATCCTGCGTGGTGCTAGGGACAGACTGGAGGAGGCTGCTGGAACAGGTCCCCAGTGAGAGGTCTGACCCAGAGGGAACAGGGAGCTCCCCTCTTGCTGAGCAAACAGAAGAGAATCATCCAGTGGTCTGAGCACCTTGCAATCCATTTGCCGATGTGCAGCACATCAAGCAGTGCTAGAGCATCTCAGGTCCAAGTCACCAAGAGCACAGCAGAGGGGGAGCTGAGTCCAGCAGGCTGCAAGGAGCCAAGGTATGGCTACAGGGACAGACCCCAAGGCTACCAGGTATCTTTACTCCACAGCCAGCAGGTTTCCAGTTTCCCCATTCATGTTTCTGGTGTGGCTCTGTGCACCTCCAGTCAAGGGCTCACACCATGGAGCCACTGGTGCTGTGGGCCAAAGGCAGCCAGAAATGCCACTGAGCTGGGAGGATGAAATTCCTCCCCCTCGCCCTTTGCATGACATTACAGGTGCAGCAGGAGCTGGCAAAACTGTTCAGGAGACATTTATCACTCCTTCCTTTCTGAAACTAGCAATTATTCCAATGATTAGCATTGTTAGGATTTATTATAAAGACATAACCACCATTTCAGATCGTTGCCGTTCTCCAGCTCTTGTGGGTAGGCACAATTATCACCCAGCTTCCCTTGTCCCTCTGTCACTTCAGGTTCTGTTTTACCTGGACTCTCCTGCCTTCAGCCCCATAGATAAGGGAGCAGGTGGTTATTCTGTGATGGGGCCCAGGGTGTGCTCTGACCCCCTCATTCTCAGAGGAAGCCATTCAGGAGAGTCCCAGTCCCCTCACACAGAGAGGCAGAGGGGACGCAGGAAAGGAAGGCAAGGACACCCTCCCAGCAAGGATAGCACCCTCCCAGCAAGGATGGCACCCTCCCAGCTGGGCAGCAGGGCCAGCCCTGCACAGACACCCAGGGCTCAGGGGCCAGGCCCAGCTGCTCGTGCTGACAGGCCTCTCCTGCCACTCCACTGTGAACACAAAACCCTTATTTCTGGGCCAGCACTATCTCATTGAAATTTAAGCAATTCTGTTAATTAACAGGGTCTGAAGCATTTTATAATGAAAATGATTCATGTCAGCACAATAGTGATGAATTGGGATGAGAGGGAAAAAGCTCATGCATTCACCAAGGCTGTAATGACTTAACTGAGCTGCTCGTAATGATATAGCTCATAATACGCCATGCAGGATGGGAGGAAAGTGCTCAGGCACTTCCCAGAACACCTCCAAGGTCACTCGTCCCAAGAGGGAGCAAGTCCAGGCCGTTTGGCACATGCAGAGCAGGGCAAATGTCCCCAGCCAGCTCCTGTTCTTCCAGCAGCACAAGGCAGACAAAATCTCTGCCTGTGGCAAGGGTGGAGGCTGATCAGAAACTCCCTGTCATGGTGTTGTGTGTCCAGTCCATCCTGGAAAGGTGGGGATCTGCTGCAGACAAACTGCCAGACCTCCAGGAGCCCATCAGGATTGTCACTGGGATGTTATTCCCAAATTGCATGGGCCACACCAGGAGTCAGCAGCTCCACCAGCCCAGGAGTCAGGCTGGCTTTGTCTCCTAGGCCCACGTACCACCCACCAGCAGCAAACCCACACGGTCCCATCTTCCAGAGCCAAGACAGTCTCTGCTCCCAAAACCTGACCCCTAGGTTTCTTCTCTGAAAAGAAGCTGCAAGGGATGGAGACAGACCTTCCTCAAGGCTGTACAGGGAGCATAGAAAAGTCATTGCTATCATCTCCCAAGATTCACCTTCTTTCCAGCTGGAAAAACTGACAAACTTGGTCTTTCCCAGACACTGCTAACAAAGCAAGAACAACCTCGAGCTCAGACTTGTCTCCCCCATTCTTGTCACTATCTGTTATAGCTGAATAATGTGGACACATGGTGGCATACCCTCTGGTACAAGGCACATGTGGCTTTCCAGCATGATCCAGATTAATCAGTATAATTACCAGGCAAGGGGACACTTAGAGCATCACATAAATACCACTGAATCTGCTCCAGCAGCAGACTCTCTTCGGGTGACAAAAACAAAGCAGGACAAAGCACTCAGCAGGTAACTGCCTTCCAGGAATCCCATCATGATGGGCTTTGCTCTGCTCTCAGGGAGAGCAAAGCCCATCTACTTCTAGATCAGATATCCACATCCTCAGACTGCCTGGACAAGGCACCTTCCAGCTGAGGGCAGGAGGAGCAACAAGGCAGAAAGTCATGGAGTAACAAACAGGGACCTATCCTAAGGAGGTTCCTGACCCATCACAGCTCAAAGCAGGCAGTCTTCAAAAGCAGATGAGATTACCCTGGGCCACAAAGAATCAAGTTTTTAGTATCACCAGGGTTGGAAGTGCCACCATCATGGTGACAAGCCTTGTCTTACTGCCATTTGGGTCTTTTTAATGTGCATGTCTGAGAAGAATCTGGGTCTATCTCCTCTATCTCTCTCCTATTTAGCTGGATAAAATAGATTAATTTCTGCCAGCAGCCTGGTCAGTTAGATCAAACCCATCTCTGCCTCAGGCCAGGAATGGCAAGGCACCTGCCAAACTGACTGCAGATTCCTCACCTGTGCCCTCACCTGTGCCCTCACCTGCCTGCAGGGACACAGAAATAGCAATATATCTGCCAAGACATGAGTCCTGCTGGAAGCACACATCCTGCAGGAGGTCAGCCCTTGCAGAAGAGGTCTTGGCTCCAAGAAGCAGCACTTCAGTGTCCCTCCAGCCCCCATCCTGTCCTTCAGCTCAGCACAATTTGAGAGGCAGAAGCTAAAGGTGTTCTGAGTGAAGTATGAGGCACAAAGGGTCAGGAGGTTCATGGAGCACCTAACAAGGGCTTGTTCCAGGCTGCAATCAGCCTTGCTCATGCCAGTGCAGAGCCAGCACACTCTCCCTTCCTTTGTCCCTTCTTTTAGCAGCTAAGTCCCTCATCACTTAACATTAATTCCCTCAGCACATTAGTAGATACACTCTAATTTCCTCAAGATGACCAAACATACAATTTGCTTCCAAATCAGCTGAAGTTCCTGTACCAGTCTCAAAAAAGGGCTGTTAATGTTCAATTTTGCTAACAAGAGGAATCCCCTTAAACAGATGTGGCTTCTCTGCAGACTCTTGTGCCTTACACTCAGACTCCCCTGTGCCTGTGGACACCTCTGGTGGATAAGGGACAGGGATTGGGCACAGACCTGCACAACCTCTGGGCACACAGGAACACACACATGTGCTGATACATCTGTGTTTCCAGGTACAGGAACACACATGTACTGATACATCTGTGTTTCCAGGCACCAAGGAGCATTTTTAACAAACTGGCAAGAGCAGCAGAGAAACTTGTTCTGCCTCCCACCACCACATCACACAGATCAACAGCTCATCAGCCCAGCTCAGTGTGCAGCAGGCTCCCAGACACAGATCCTCTCCCAGCCCAGCCTTACTGCCCCAGGACCAGGGCAGGTCTGTCTCCAAACACAGCAAGGCCGGCAGGTAGGGATGACAAATAACCATCAGCACACAAATAACCATCAGCTTCATCCCAGCAGGCCAGCATCTGCATTCTCCCTGGCATCAAAAGCTCCAAGCCCGTATGGCTCAGTCTTTAAATCAGGACACAGGCTCTAGAACTCAGGAGCTGGTTTAAGTCATCACAAATGCCAGACTGCATTTCAAATACCTTCTGAGTTCTGCCTTTTCCCTGCATCCAGCAGAGTGACAGATTTGAAGAACAGCCTCTTCCTTACGGTAAAAAGCCAGGCTCCCATGCACAGCCCCAAACTGACAAGCTGGCTTTTAAGGAAGCAAACATAATGAAACCTATGGTGTTACATGCTGTGGTTGCTCTACAGCACTCAATATCCCCACAAAGGGATGAGCAAAACTGCTGGAAACAGGGGCACCAGGCTGTGGGGTGTTGAGCAGTTTCAGGTTCCCTCCCAAGGAAGGCAGTGTGGAAGGGACCACAGGCAGCAGTGTCTCCAGCCACACTGCCCAGGGGTAAGAAAGGGCACTGCAAAGGACACAGGAACAGACACGAGCAGGCAGGCACAGCTGCCTGCCAAAAGAGAGATTTGCCCCTCTAAAGGTGAATAATCTGCAGCAGTACAGAGAATGCAGGGTGATATAAAGCAGCATGAAAACACAGCCTGTGGATTTAAATGCACAAATTTCTCCTCTTATGTAAATGCACTCAGAGTGCCCACACTCAGGTGCACATCTCCATATTGGAAAAGAATAAGTTTGAAAAATTTTGGTGAGGATGAGATTCCTGGAGCTGGAACAGGAGCTGCCACTAAACCTCCCACCCTGTGTAACTTTGGGAGAGCTGGGCTCGTGGCCCAGCAGCAGTGAGGGGGATTCTGCTGTCAGATTAGTGCTCTCAGCCAGAGCCAACACCCAGCACAGCAGCACAAGAGGCTGTTTCCCGCTGGAAGCAGCAGGGCAGAGCTGTGTGCTGGTTTGCTGTGAGAACACAGCCTCCTCAGCAGATCAGGGCAGCCACAGCACGAGCTCTGCTGCTCACCTGCTGCAGGGAGCAGAGATTGCCTGCACCCTGTCTGAGCGAGGAAGGCAGCACAAAGCTTACAAAGCTTAATGCCTGCAGGCTCTTGCAACAAGCCACGGGGATATTCTTACAGCTGGCAAGAAAACCTTGCCTCAAAAGCTTATGCATATAAAGCTCCCCACTCACACAAAAAAAAAAGCCAGCCTTGACCTCCAGCAAACACAGGTGAAGTTCTTGAACCTGATTTGGTGTACACAACACAAGTTTCAGTCTGTGAAACTAATCTCAAAGCATGAGAGTGGCTGCTGTATATGAAAGAAAGAAAAGCTTGTGCATCAGCTGTGCTTTCTCCTCACCATCATTCAATTCTGGAATCTTCCTACAGCATAAATGCCATCCTGCTGCTCCCACTATTCCAGGAGCCATTTAAATGCTTGTCTCCCTCCAAAAAGACCCGAGATGCTACAGGCACTCAGGGCTTACTGAGTGGCAGGACTTGGCACAGCACAGCAGCCAGACAGTTTGGGTTTGCCTGTGAAAGGTCCATTGAATACAAAATCCCAGCTGAACACTAGAGCTGGAAACATCCAAGAACAGGAGACAAAGTGGGCTACACACGGTCCATGTTCTGTACTTAAGCATAGAAACCACTTTTTTATATGCCCCACCTGTGCTATGAAGGAGGGTGTGAAAAGAGCACAAGACAAGGGGGGGAAGAAAGAACCTGTGCTGGAAGGAGTCAGGGGCTGAGGTGGTGTGCAAGGCAGCACATGCATGCATGCACCTGCAAGAAACAGCAGAGAAGGAGGTCAAAACCAAAAATGGAAATCAAATTGTTCTTCATTATCATATATTATAAGAAATGTAACATGCCAAGTTTTTATGGTTCTTTTTATGGCCATTAATAACAATGGTGGCTCTGAGAGCTACGCTGCTGCTATGGATAATTAAATCTTATGCTCAGGGCAGAAGCTGGGCCACCTCGGGCAATCAGACTTGGATTCTCCTGTGCAGCATAAAGACTTATTCTGACAGAACAAGAGTGGGAGCAGGTTGGGGTGTGCTTGGGTGGATATAATGACACCTTGTGCCCCTACAGCACTGCTGCTCCCACATGGGTCAGTGTTGACAGAGGGCACGGGACAGGCTGCAGCCACAGCTTGAGGGGCTGATGGGCAGAGCTGCAGCCCTGCAGCTCCTGCAGTGCTGGTGAGGCAGCTGCCACAGGCCATTTGCAGCTCAGAGACCCCCAGAGTCAGCCCCAACACCTGTGTTAGCAGCCAGATATCCTGCAAGCAGATGTGCTCAAGAGGGGCTGGAGTCTTCTGCAGACTTGTCAGCAATTTTGCCTTGTGAAACACAAGCAAGTAAAACAGTAAATCAACCCCCCAGTGTATGAAACAGCCAGCTTGAGAATTAAGACACAAAAAGTCAAGGAATCAAGAAGCTTGGATTCCCAGAGTGACATTAATTCTCACCACAGTCCCACAGGGCACATTTTAGTTTATGCCTTAATACAGAGCATTAATGTGGCAGGAAGCTGAGCCTCTGCACGTCCTGGCTTGTGCAGTTTGTCCCCAGTGGTCCCTCTCCATTCCAGCAGCCAGACTTGCACTCACACAAAGCTGTCTCAGATTAACAGGATCTCAATGCACCTGAATTTCCAGTGTTTAGCCTATTGTTCCTACACACACAATATAAAACAAAGCAAATCTGGGAGACAAGACAGCCCAGGTGCAACAGCTCCTGAGCAAGGGGTGGGTACAGTCCCAACCTGCTGCTTGTGCCCTCTCCCCAGTGCACCAGCCTCAGTCCAGACAAAGGCATTTCCCAGCACATGCCACAGTGCTGCTGTCGGGTGTGTGTAGGAGCTCCCAAACACCCAAATCTGAGCATTCCTCCAGCAGCAGCCAGGCTGGTGGCAGAGCCAGGGCTGGGCCAGCCTCCCCATGTGCCCCAGAGCACTGTCAGCAGGTGGAGGGTTTCTTGCAGGTGCAGAGGCTCAGGCACACAGACCTTGTTCACACTCTCCTTACACCAGCATCCCCAAACAAATTCCAGCCTTAGAAAATATCAGATCAGCCTGACAGAGATGTGGTACTTCAGCCCAGGGGCTGATCTCAGTTCATGCCACTGCGGTTCAGCAATAGGGTGGGGAGGACTTTGCTGTCCAGTTTTCCAAGACAAGCTGCAGCTCCTCGGCCTGCTTGTCCTTTGACAAATTTTCGTAACTATGGGCACTTTACTGCATGCTTTGTGCCTTAAATATCCCTTATTAGCATTTGAGTGTCTTCCCTTCTTAGCAAGCTTGTGAGGCTCTCATTAAGGGTAATGAGAGTCAAACTCCTGGGAGGCAAGGAGAATATATACCCCAACATCTCCTGGTTATGGTCTACTCTAACCAGTATGTCACAGCATCATCTGCCAGGGATTTATTGCAGAGGCATTTTACAACAGGCTCTATTATAAGTTATTAAGGAATGGAGCAGCTTCTACTGTTCTTTCATTAAATATTAATAGAACATTTATAAACCTATCCTTTATTTAAAGTGTTACCTTTAATCAAAGCCCTGGTGATAATGATGCAGCCTTTGGTAAGGCCCCTTTGGTAGTATTTAAACCTTCTCCACTGAAGTTTTATGTGCCTGTGGGGGCATTCCAGCTCCAGGCAGAGAGGAGCTGTGGCCAGTGCAGGTGCAGACCAGGCACTGTGGGCAGGCAGCTGCAGATCCTGCCTGCTGCAGGCAGGGCATGGGGCTGGGCAGCAGCCTGAGCAGGGCAGCTGAGCCTCCCCTCCAACACCCCTGCCAGCAGTATCCAGCACCAATGGCCAGCAGGGAGGCACAGATCTGCTGTTGCAGTCATGGCCAGGACCCCCAGCCCAGCTGGGTGCTGCTCACCTGTTTTGCTGTCCACAGTGAAGTGCTGCTCCCCCTCCAGCACGCTGTAGACCACCCGGGCGCTGCTCCCATAGGTGGGGTCGTCGGCATCAGAGGCCATCACCTGCATCACAGAGGTGCCTGCAGCAGGGACAAGGAGGAAAACAAAGTCAGGCAGGAGTTTAGAAGAGCGGCACAGACCTCAGAGCAGGGCCCAACACTGATTGCCAGCACATGATGAGGGAAAAGAGAACAGCTGGGTGCAAATGCAGCATCACCTCCCTGCCAAACGCCTGAAAGCCAGGACTCCAGACACAAATGCCTCTGGTGTGCTGCAGAGTGGCAGCAGGGACAGGATCCTGGGCCATCCTGCAGCAGGACCTGCTCTCCAGGAGATCACTGCTCTGAACAGCTGGGAGCTTTTCTCCCAGTAGCTTTCTACTGGACCATCTGGGAAGGAGCTGGGGATGTTATACTGACACCGGCCCTTCCTGTCAGCACAGAGTGACATGATCACCTCCAGACCACAGACGGACCACCCAGCCAGAGCCTGATCCACCCTGCAGCAGGCAGACCTGCACAGGGACAGCAGCCCCAGGAGAGGAAAGGCTTTCACTTGCCCAGAGCCAGACACAGCACCAGGTCCTCATGCTCTACACGTAGCAGGGCAGGAGGACTATAAATTGGATAAAAGTCCATCAAATGTCTGCAATTAAGTTATTGATTTTCAAGGCTGCCTCATTAAACTGGGTACTTCACTCCAACTGTCCCTGTGATGGCTTTAATTTGACATCATGTTCAATTTAACAAAAGCAGGACCCAGGACATGAGGGTGGGGGCAGGAGCAAAGGGACTGAGATCTAGAGAGACAACAGAAGGGAGAAAAGAAGGGAAGCCTACCCCCACCTACAGACACCTTGAGAAAGGAGGTGTGTGACCAAAGCACAGTGAGGACAGGCTACCCTGTTTCATCTCCAGCAGCAGACTCGGTGCATCCCTGCCCAGAGGTCAAGCACTGGCAGCACTCAGACAAAAGCAGCCTCTGTTCCTGTGTCACAGGAGGCAGGCATGGAGCTGAAACCATCCAGAGGAGGATGAGGAGCTTCAGTCCCTGGTGCCTTCCTCCTCCTTTGTCAGCAGACCACAAGCCCAGAGCCTGCAGGTGAGCCAGGGATTTCCTGCACCAGCCCTGCCCAGACTCAGGCAGGAGATGAGGCAGCACAGACAGCAGTGCTGCTGGGAGCAGCTGGGATGCACACGCTCCCCCAGTCCAGTTCACTCTGATCTCCTGGAAAGGGTGTTCACTGAGGGAAACGAGCAGTTACCATGGTTGCTTTTCATTCTCCCTGGCAGCCTTCTCAGAGCTGCAGCTCTGCTGATAACAGGAGAATCCCCCTCATCAGTCTTCAGCAACAAGCTACTTTGAGTCAACTTATTTATGCTTTGCTGTCTCCAGTGAAGTTATGGTGCATCCCTGCCAGGCACGTCCAGATTTTACACCACAGCAACACTGGCTCTCTGCCTCGCAAACAACTGTTTAAGAAATACTATTGCTGCATTTTCTCCTCCTCTCCCTGCCATAACACAACTCCTTCAAGCAGGTATGAGCCAAGGCAGATCACTCCCACACCAGCACTGCACATTCCCTCGGGCAGCCTGGCATGCTCCCTTGGGAAGCTCCTGATCAGAAAGCAAAAAAAAGGGACCAGAGAAGGGAAATGTCACCAGGGTCCCCAAGCATCCTTCTCCCAGCTGCAGTAGAGAAGCCTCCTAGGGATGCTGGAGGTGCCAAAGTCTGAGAATCACAGAAAGCAGTACCTGCCCATGGGAACAAGAGAGGGCACAGCCTGGCAGCAATCAGCTGAGAGCCCAGTGCCCACAGCAGCACCCACTCCTGCACCTGCAGCACAGGCACAGCCTGCTGACTGCACAAACATCCCTCACTCCAAGAACCACTTGTTCCTGCTGAGGGTTAGGAGATTCCAACCTCACCCACAGGGACCCAAGCCCATCAGTTTACCTCCCTGCCCTGCCCTGTATACCCTGTGTCAGGACTGCACATTTGCCTCAAGGACCACACCACAGCCTCCTGTTGCAGCCCTCTGTGCAGTCATCCCAAACCAGGGATCATGAGAGGCAGGCTGGCCACTGAACGTTTGCACCAGACTCTGCATTTCAAGATGCATTCATTCAATTGCATAACTCACCTCCTAACCCATCCCTGTCAGACACAGCTGTACTCCCTGTGGTCCAGTATTTATCTGGATGCTGCCAAACTGCAGAGTCTGAAGAGGTGCCAGGAGCTGTGCCCACGCAGAGCACGGTCTGTGTCACCATCCCAAGCCATGCCTTGGACAGGTGAGGTAGGCTGCTGCTCTCAGGCTTCCTGTGCCAGCACTGAAAGCTCCTGGCCCACAGCTGCTGGCACTCCCAAGAACTGGAGCAACAGGGCAGCAGATCCAGCTCCAGGTCCCAGGGGTGAACCCCATGTTTGGGACAGAGTTTTCTGCTCTAGGGCAAGACAAACCAAGCAGCACGAGGAGCCCTGCAGCAAGACACCTTCACTCAGAGGCAGAGATGGGGCACGGTGCCCTTGGGCTGCAGCCAGCAATGCCAGAGGTGATGAAGGCTCTGCCCTTCCTCACCTGCCCTCACAGCATCTCATTAACAAAAGAGCAACATCAGCCAGGTAGGGAACACTGACCCCACTTTGTGCCTTGACTTCTTGTCTGTAAAGACCCTTGCTCAAGGTCACCTAAAGGGTATCAGGAATTTACTAGTTTAACATTCCAGCATCCTCCCCTAACCTCCATTTATGCCTGTCCCACGCCTCCCTCCCATTCTGTGTCCATGTGAAGAGCAGTGGTTTTCCATTTCAGCTTAACCTGGTCCCCCCTTCCTGCAGAGACAAGCTTTGCCTGGCTCCCACCCTGCTCCAATATTAGTCCCTGCTCTCCAAGCACAGCACTGCCCACAGCAAGTACAGAATGTACAGCTTTTATTTAGTTTTCTGGCACATGCTTTAGCCATAAAAGATACACTAAATAAAATCTAAACATCCATCATGTACTCTATCACCCGCCTCCCATAACCAAGAAGCCTGAGCCCATATCCAGAGAGATAATTAGACATGTAAAACGAGAGAAGACCTTGGTTCCTCCCCCGACAAGCACACTCCACAGATCAGAGAAAACCAACAATTTTACATAAAAATTAACAGGGCAGAATCCATCTCTTATTCCTCCTCTGCAAAGGTGAGGTCTGGCACAGCAGATCAACCAAACCCTGATTTCCTCCAGAAGGAAGGGGGAGCAAGACCCTCACTTCCAGAGCAGCACTTCCCTCAGCCTAGCTGACTGTGGCTGCCAGCCATCCTCTGTCCCCACGGGCCCTGCTTGGGCTGTCCCCATTCCACTCCCTGAGCCATCCTGGAGAGCTGCCAGGGCCAGCAGCCAGCCCTGAGCCCTGCCAGCAGCATCCCTCTGCTGTGAGCAGGGTCAGCAGGGCAGGCAGGGGCTGCCCACACCCAGAGGTGCCCGTGGTGCCCCACAGCTGTGGCATGCAGGAGCTGTGTCCCTGCAGGGTCTCTTCCCCTGAGGGCACAGCTCAGCCCCCACAGCCACCCTGCCATGCTGTGTCCCCAGGGCTGGCAGGGCACAGCAGCTCAGCCCTGCCAGTGCCCTGGGTGGGATGGATGGGCACCTCTGGAATGCCAATGCAGGCCTGTCCTGGCATCTGTGACTGCCTTCCCACGGGACCCAGAGCCTCTGGGGCCAATCCCAGCAACCCTGCATGAAGAAGGCTGAGAGCTCCAGGCCACTTGCTATGCCACTCACTCCAAACACGTTCAGCTAAAAGAAATGTTGACAGGCAAACTCCAAACACATCCACGAGCAGAGAGGCCCTGCACTGAATCCACAAGCAAGTGGCTGGGACCTGTCACTTCCCCAGGGACAGAAGTACAGCCAGGCTCTGGGCAGGCAAAGAGGCAAATGAGCAGCAGGATAAACCAGCACTTGCTAAACCTGACTGTCACCCCTCTGTGGTGAAACCAGGAGCCTCCAGATGCTCTCCAGAACCAGCTCTGGGGCTCAACTGCCACCTTCAGCTCAGGCAGAGACCAGGGACACTTTCTGGCCACGCTGAGAGCTATTTCTCTGTGGATCTGGCCAGCTCCAGGACAGCACTCGGGCACTTCAGCCCTGCAGAGCACCAGGGACCCTGCAAGGAGTGCTGTGTCATGCAAAGCCACATTCCCTGGCCTGATGCCAGTGTGCAGCACTCTCATCCCAGGTGCCTGGGTGCCATGGGGCAGGAGGCAGGTGGGAGTTTATAAACAATGCAATTTACAGCTTTTCTCTGGCCCCAAACACCTGCAGTGGCTGATGCACCCTAGACACATTCTGAAAAAAAAAGAACTAGAGTAGCTTAAAAATTACTGGAGCAGAAGTGAGTTTCTTGCAATCTTGTGAACATCCTGACTTGGTAGGAAGCCAGGCCCAGAGGAGATTCACTGCACAGCCCTCTCACCCTGCAGGACAAGCCCCAGGGCAGTAACCTGGCAGGGTGCAATTGCTCCAGTGTCCTACTGTGAAACTTTTGGGCTGTCTGGCCAGAGAAAGGCACTGCACAAAGCACCCCAGCCCCTGGCACGGAGCAGGTAAGCCTGGGGAGCAAACCACAGCACCCCATGGAGAGGCTCAGGTTCCCTGGGGGGCTGCCAAAGGCAGCCTGGATGAGGTCCTCACATGGGCAGGGCAGGGTGTGGAGCCTGTCCTGTGACCTAGAGCACAGTGCAGAATGGGGAGGACTCCCCTCACCAAGGACAAACAGACAGGGAAGCCCCAGCTCCCAGCAGCTTCCAGATACACACAAGTGACTTTCTAGCGGGGGGGGGGAAACCCGATTGCCTGCAAGTGTTCTGGCTGTATGGTAAACAAAGTGTTTTTCTCTGCTTCCAGCACGGAGATTAAACAATTTCTTTTCACAATAATCACTTCTGCATTCAGCCAGCTTTGTGCTGGAGTCAGGGCTTGACCCCAAGTTTCTGTCTGTACAGCCAAATCGCCTCTAATCTGGACATGGTGCTACACAGAGAAATGAGAGTGAAATGCACCAAGGGAGGAGTGATGCTCTGATGGAACCACATGCCTTTCCTGGCATGTCCTCACTCCAGGCCCTGCCTGCTCCTCAAGGACCCCACAAGTGAGCTCTGGGCTGCAACACCCACCCTGTGCAACCAACAGAGTTGTCTAACAGGAGGCACCGTGTGCTGGATTTGGGCTCATGCCTGAGTGCAGCAGACAGCTGTTAAGCAGACCCCAGGGAGATCAGGAAAGGAGCCCAAAACACAGCTAATTTTAGCACCTCCTGTAACAAGGTGAAGCTCCTGCAGTTCCAAGGCAGCTGGCTGGGTCCCATCCTACATTCTCCTGAAGCTGCAGGTCTCTCTCTTTGGTGCTGGATTCTGCTCAGCTCTGATGTTTTGGAGATCCACCCAGGGGTATCCACAGAGGCTGAGCCTGGGGTGCCAGCACAGAGCAGCCTGCAAGCTCTTGACCAGCAGCCTCTCCCTGAGGTGACAGGACAGCAGTGAAGCTGTAAACAGGATTTGCAGCTCAGGCCCCATCCTGCACACACACTGCTCCTTGGTATGCACGCAGTGGGCACAGGGCAGTCAGTGAAAACACTCCCCAGGAGCCCCTGCCTTCCTCAGCCTGGGTGACTCCAGGGCATTGCTTCCAGCCCAGCTCCCTCTGAGGGCTGAGCAGGGACCTCTCCACCTTGTACAGACCCAGCTGCCCTCCCTGCCAGGCTGCAAACCTCCCACAGCAGGATGCTCCTGATGCCCCAGGCCAGACCAGGTTTCTCCAGAAAAGCCAGTTGCTGGTTTTGCAGCTGGTTCTGCTGTGCCAAGGGAGGCCAGATAAAGCTATTGGGTCAGCTTTCATTTTGGATATGCTTCTTCCAAGTGCAACATATCCCTGTGTAGAAAACAATGACTTCTCCAGCCTGGCTCAGAGGCTGGGGCTAGCTGCAGGCACCACCTCTGCCCTTTACAAATCCCTTATCCTCCTGACCATCCTGCATCTGCCACTATTGATCCATCAGATAACAACAGCAATCCTTTTTCTCTTCCCTTTGCAGAGGTTTACAATGAGTCTGGATGAGTTCATGGAAGACAGATACTAAAGCTGACTAAACCCCCAGAAACCACCCACAGCCAAAGAAATTTCCAAGCTGAAAACAGATGCTGGCTGGGAGAATATTAAGAGGAGCATCACATGTCCTGTGTGTGATATTCCTCCTTCCTAAGAATGCACTTTGACCACTGCCAAGGCAAGATCCTGGAACAAAGAAGGCTTTAGTCCACCTCAGTCTCAGAGTCTCAGGCAGCACATACAAACACACTGCCCTGGCCCCAGCACAGAGCAAGGGCAGCTGTGCTGCAGAGCACTCCCAGTTACTCTGAGAGTTTGTGCACTTCTCTCATTTGTTATTCCCTCTTAGACACTAGGAAATCAAATGACTTTCCCTCCCAATTAGTACTCCTTCATTATGCAAATAATGTCCTTTGATCTGCTCCTGCTGTCACAGAGCGGATCTGACTGTATTTGGTTTATTCCTCTTCACGCCCCAGGAAGGCACCCACCTCTGGGAGCTGGGACTCTGCTTTTGGCAGGGAATGGAGAGTGCAGCTGAGAGCTGCCTTGAGTGAGGACAAAAACCACCCAAGCACAAACCCCAGTGAGGTCTGGGAAGGCAAGACCATGAGGGCAGGAAGAAGGGGTCACCCTTAACTCTTCAGGCTGGGATGCAGAGCAAAGGTTTCAGAGCAGCAGAGACAGGGAATGAGCAGCTCCCTGCAAGCTCCAAGCTGGACAGCACCCTGCCCTTGGAGTGGCCTCATCCCAGTCACCCAGTCACCCTTCTTTTTACTGAATCCAAGTGGTGCTGAGAGCAGGCATGGCCACCAGCAGGTCCCCAGGCTTTGATCTTGATAGCCAGCCTAAGTTCTCCAGCCTTTGTTCTCCTGCTTGGCCAACACCAAGCTGGGATCACCTCCATCCACACTCAGGAAGGCAGCAAGGCACACTCCCCAGTCACTCTCATGGAAATACCCCACAGCTCCAGGGGGGATGCTCTGTCCAGCTCAGAGACAGCAAATATCCATAATCAATACCAACCACAACAAAGCCATAAGCACACCCAGCCTTGATGCCACAAAAGGAGCACTCCCACACAAAAAGGGCCTGGCAGGTCTCTTCCCATGAGAATATCCTGAACTTCACCTCCTTGGCCCAGCAGCTTCCCATATCCTGCACCCTCAGCCCTTCCTACAGCATCTGGAGCTGAACATCTCACACCAGGTCCATGACCAGCCCCATCTACCTCCCAGCTGCTGAACCAGGGAGGCTTGAGCAGAAAGCTCCTTGCCAGCCTTGCCTGTTTATGCTTTCACAGGCTGTGTCCATCTTGTCCTTTGTGCTGCCTGTTCCTGGGCAAAGCACTGGTAAGCTGAGGGAGAGGTGGGATGGAGCTGGGACTTGCAGCAGCAGCAGCCTGAGGGTCCCTCCAGCTCTGTGCTCACACCGCTGGGGCCCAGGCAGCAGCACCATGGGAAGATGAGGTGTGAGGCCCTCCCTGGGCTGCCTCCAGGGCAAGGCTGCTCTGGAAGAGCCAGTGCACTGCCCAGGACGGTCACACTGCAGCAGGCTCTGAGGCTGTGGCAGGCAGGTAGCCTGGAAAGCAGAACAGGCTCTTGGCTCCAGCTCCCCTCTCTAAGCACACAGCTGGGAAATGCAGCCCACGCCGTTCACAGCACTTCTCTTCACTTTTAACTTCCGAGTATTTTAATTTGCAGGAATCGCCTTCTTTCATGTTGTGAAACCGTGTTTCTTTCTCCCTCTGATCTCCAATTTCGCATAGAAACTGTCTCCTTTGATATGTCTTGTTCACATCAGTCTGATCAGGCAGCTCCATAATTGTTAGTGATTTTCAAAGAACTGGGATCCTTGTCTAATACCCAGAGTCGAGAATTCCTTGCTTTTTAAAATGTTGTTCAAGCAAATTAGATTAATTTAATTTCTTTCTTCCCCTTGGGAACAGGATGCCTCTTGCTTTGGTGCCCACATGCATTTCATTTCTCCAGGAGCGCCCAGCTGTAGTTCAAGGGGTCACTCTCTGACTAAGGGAAGGATTTGCACAGGTAACTGGAAGCAGAGGGAGAGCTTGGGATGCCTCAGGAGATTTTTTTTTCTCCATACATGAATAGAATCCAAGCAGCAGCAGCTTCTCTGGTGCAATTCCTGCACATCTGTACCTGCTGGAGGCCATGCACCAGCCTTGCAGCACGCTGCACATGAACCATGGAGAGCTGGAGCTCTGTCCTGAGGCACTGCAGACCTGAGCACCATCCCCTGCCCTCTGCTGCCAGGATGCCTCTGCAGCCAGACCTTCCTACAGCAGGAGCTGGTGGTTCCCCTGAGCTGGCAGTTCTCCTGAGCTGGCCTCTCAAGCCCCTGGTGCTGTCAGCTGCTCTCCCTGCCCTGGGGGCTCTCTCAGTCCTGCCCTGTTACTGTCCCCTGTGCTGACTCAGCCCTTGCTGAGACCTTGGGGTCCTGCCTGATCTTCGATGTCAGCCTTTCACAAGCTGTCTGCTACCTGGACACAGCCTTTGGAAACAGTGATTTACAGCTCCTGCTTGCAGCACATGCTGACACACAGCCTGCTATGGGGGTAGCAGAGAGCCCAGGGTGCTCAGGGAATGCTGTGGCTCCAGACAGTGCAGCACAGCCATTCTCCTGGACTCCAGCTGTGCTCAGCAGCCACACTTCTGTCACTGGGACATGAATTCCCCAGTCTCAGCCAACAAGGCCTGGCCCCTCAGAGAAGGGCACATGCAGCTGAGAAGGGCCTGGCAGTTCTGCACGGGGACACTCAACGGGATGATGCTTGAGCAGCCCTGGGGCTCAGAAGAACAGCACAGCAGCACACAGAGGATGGCCTGAGCTGGGGGAGAAGCACCACTCAGACCAATCTGAACCACAGGCAGATGTGAGCCCCTTGATTTGTGAGGGTTTAGTCCAACCACCCAGCATTTATGAGGGAGGGGGCTGTGCAAAGTCAGAGTCAATGCACAGCAGGCAGCTGGCACCACCACGACCCGTCCCCAGAGCACGGCTTAGGGCTGAGACTGAGCGCTCAGCCAAAGGCTGGCAATCAGCTCAGAGGATTTATCCACTTGTTTTTCTTAAGCCACCTTATTTATTTTTCCCTTTTGGCTCCCTAGCTCTGCAATCCCTGAGATTTGCAAGTGGTTTTTGCGGGGTACAGCAGGCTCAAGGTTTGACGGGGGAGAGGTGCAGCTTCCCCAGCCCACAGCAGACCTACCGACGGGGGACAGCTCCGCCACGCTGCCAATGTAGGGCCCCTCCAGGAAGCGTGGCTCGCTGTCGTTGATGTCCTGCACCTTGATGATGAACTCTGACTCGGGCTCCAGCAGCTGGTCTGTCTGCCGGTCCCGCGCCTGCGCCCGCAGCGTGTAGAAGGTTTTCTGCTCCCGGTCCAGGCGCTCGGTGGCGTGGATGTCACCTGTGATCTCGTCGATGAGGAAGATGGTCCCCGCGCCCTCCCCGGAGATGGTGTACTTGATGGAGCCGTCTCCCTCATCCGAGTCCGAGTGGATCTGCCGGGGAAAGAGGGAGAGGGTGGGAGCAGGCTGGGGATGCTTGTACCCAACCCTAGCCCATGGTCCCTGTGAGATGCCCCTCTGCTCTTGTTGGACTGGACAGTCACAGGGAGCACCACCAGACAACTCCTGTGCATGAAGGAAGGCACAATAAACTGGAATTTCAGGCCTGCCTTTACAGCTGTGCAGATTACAGATTCTGCCAGTGCCCACCCCCAGTACAAACCAAGGGACAAACCCCTTTAATCAGGGGTTATGAGATGATGAAAAGGCAAATGACAACTCAACTGCAGTCCACAGAAAGAGGCTTCCCTATGGGCAAGGAACCAGGACTCTGGCAGCAGGGGATCACCTCTCCCAAGCTGCACAGGTACCTTACCATCAGCATCCCTCTCCTTCTACACAACCAATTGCGCAAAGTCCATCCTCATCCACCTGCTTTGCCTCAGCCACAGCCACCCTCCATGATCTGGGCAGCTGCTGCTGACAAGTCTCCCTGCTGAAGAGCTCACACACTTGTTGCAGCCCTGTGCTGGGTTTGTGTTGCAGGGTAACAGGGGTCACAACATCCCATCATCATGCCCAGAGCCCCACCCAGACAAAATCTGCAAAAGAGTGTGACAAATCGGCTCATGTTCAGGACTAAAAACAGACCCTGAGGAAGATGCCTTTGCAGGCAATCTCTGCTGCTTCATTTTTTAATTAAGACAATGTTTGGAATTAGGAGAAGAAAGGGTAAACAGCAGTTCCCCATGGACCAAGAGCTGACTGGAATCCAGGCCAGACGTCCAGAGATAATTTTATTGGTGGCATTAAACTGAGTTATGAGGTTTTTACAATCCAGCCACTTATGAGAAATCTATTAACAGTAACTGGACAGGCAGAATGCATCTTGACAGAGAGCAGCATGGGCATTAATTGGGACAATCCGTAATGGGACAGGTCCCCGGAAAGGTTTCATCAGCTGCTTTCATTTGTTTCCTACAATTTTTGCTTAGAATCAGCAAAGTCATGTCCCCCCTCCACAAAAAGAAAAAAGCCGTCCATTAATCGGCTAATGAAATATGAAAATGTTTATGGGCCATTCAATCTTCCAAACTGCAGTTCTATAATCCACCTTTCAGACATACAGCTCTACCAGCAAGAATTTATACCAGAGCTGCCTCTTTTTTTACGATGCCTTCATTATATTTGTCTTGTTAGATACAGTTTATGTATTTATTTCACAAGTGAGGGACCCACACGTTAGGTAATTCAATGCATTTTGCACAACATTCACAAATTACTGCCCATGGTGACACGTCTCTCAAGGCTTGCCTGGAAGGAGACCTTCACTCAGCTCACAAATAGGGCTGTGATCCCAGCAGAGTCTGGGACCACCGTGATGGATTTGGCTGGAAATGTGCCTATGGGGTGGTCACCCTGCCCTGGCCACCTGGAGCATCCTGCCCTGGTCTATGGGGATGGCCATCCCAGCCTGGCCATCCAGTCCCAACCCTCCCTGCTGGCTGGTGGAGACCTTGCTGCCCTCTTCACTTTATCATCCTCTCCCATTTCCCACTGCTACTCCGTGAGCTTTTCAGAACGAAGGAGGAGCACCAGGTCTGTGCAGGCAGCTGCACAGGCAGCAGAAACCTGCATTTTCTGCTGAACACCGCCATGATTAATTATTAATCATGGCTCATGATTAATAATTAGGCTAGAGATAAAGCATCCAGCACCACATTGAGCTCTCAGCACATCCTCTTCACATATTTGCTCATCACTGACTGCTTGGAGCAGACACCAGCATCCCTGCAAACCGGAATGCTAGGAAGAAAAATGGAGCCTGGGCTCAAGGGGCTGCAGAGATTGATTTACAGGGGAAGATTAGAAGAGCTAAATCTGTGCTGCTTGGCTAAACAACAACTAATGGGGGAGGGCTGGATCTCAGACTACAGAAACACGAGGGGAGATGCCACAGACCCGGACCACACGTCAGGGATGTTCTCTCCTCCCTGTTACAGCAGGCAGGCTTGGGGAGCACCACGCTCCCACGCAGCCTCGGGGCTGCCTCCACCCCTGGGCATGGCAGGAGACTGAAATCACACCGCTCTTGTGGGCCCCAAGAGCACAGGAACCACCCAGCCCTGCCTGCAGATCAGCCCCAAGCAAGGACAGCAGTGCCTGCAGAGCTGGGACATCCAGAGGGCGGACAACAGGCTGATCTGTCCCATTTGTTAAACAGGAAAATTGTTTCCTTGTCCTAAAAGACTACAACCAGAATTCTTACGAAGCCATTAATTACATACTAATAATTAAATCAAAATTAAATATGAACAGAGGTGCACATTCCTTATTAAAAGCAATTAAACAGAAAGCACAGATACACAAATAAAAAATGACTCTGGGGCTAGAAAAGAAAGAAAATCAAATAAAAACTAGCCCGTAATAAAGGCGCACTCTGTTTGCTCCAACTCATAAAGCCCGAGTTCATCAATTTTCTTTAAATATTAGCAACTTAATTAAATCTGCTTTTTTCCTTTTAATCCTCTCCTCTATCTAAAATAGATCTGTCCACATGCAGAAGTTTGTAACTAGTGCTGACCCCATAATTCTATTTAAAAAACCCAAAGAAATCCACATCAAACTGACAGCAGCCTCAGGGGAAATTACAGTTCAGAAGAAGGATTAGCTAGAGAACCCAGATTTTATGGAAATGGTATCGGCCCTTCAGAAAGCACATGTAGGTGTGTGAGAGGCATCCACAGAGGGCATCCCCAGCTCCTCTGCAGGGTCCCCCAGTGCAGGAAGGCTCCGGACCCACAGACTGTCCTAAGAGGGCTGGCACACTGCTGGGGACAAGGCAAGCACTCCATCCTCTCCCAGCACCAGGAAAAGCCTGGCCCTGCTGGCTGGCAGCCCTGGGGATCACAGGCAGCGCTGTCACGCTGCTGTTGCGAGCCGGGCGGGTGATGGGGTGGGTGATGTGGAAAGGGGCTGTAAAACGGGTGAGTTGTAGGTTTCGGTTCAGCTGGAGCCCAGGCAGTGCCAGGCCTGTGACAGGGCCCGGTGCCTCCGCTGCTCCCGGGGGAGCCATGAATTAGCTGTGCCTGCTCCGAGGGCGGCGGGGGAGCGCGGCTTTGAGAGTCTGCTGAAACGGACACAAATCACCACTGAAATCCCCGCTGGCCCCCAGCCAACAAACCCATTTCCAAGCTCCTCCAGACTCATGCCCAGACGGCTGAGGCCATCAGACAGCCCTGCTGTACAAGCTCTTGGGCACCTTCCTTTGGGGTGAGCCCATGTCTCCAGCTCTAGCTCGATTGTAGCGTGTTCCTCTGACTGCTCCCAACAGCCTTCACCCAAATACAAACACCACGTCTGCCTGACATGTGGGGCAGCTGCCTCTCCAAAGCTCCCAGAAAAGGATAAAGCCCAGTAATCCCAAGGTGAAATGCTCCTTCAGCCTCAGGACACCAGGAATGGAGGGAGCAGAGGTCCATGTCCAGCCTTCCCAGGAGATCACACACCAGGGAAGTGTGGTGAGCTCCTGCCTGCAGACCCAGTCCTGCCCATCAGGCACTGTCACCTGCCAGCAGCTCCCACAGGCACAGGGTTTCTTTAATCCAGCCCCAGACACCACAAGCAGCCAGTATACGATTGTAGGAACACAAACGTAAATTTTGGTGTGTCCTGTTATCACCTCTGGGAGAACATTAACCTCACCACCCCCAGCAGGGACCAGGCTCCTGCCATCACAGCCCACAAAGTATTTCTCTAGCCAGGCTCCCGTGAAAAACCTTCACATGGGCCCTCTCTCTGCTCAGCACTGCCAGCATTTCCACCCTGCCCCTGGCTCTGCCAGCCCCGTGGAGACATCAGGTCAGCTTACCTTCCCCACATAGAGCGGCTCCGTGCCCGTGTACTCCTCCACCACAAAGAACTGGTTCCAGACCCAGCCGCGCTTCACTCGCCCGCCGGCCAGCAGCGCAGGATCCCCGGGCTCCCCGAGGCCAGGGCCCTCCACCGCCGAGTGCATGGCCCAGCACCCCAGCTCCTGGATGGCACAGAACAGCAGCAGCATGGTGCCCAAGCAGCCCTGCAGACCCTTCGCCATGGCACTCTAGGAGGCTGCATGAGCAGGAGCTTCTGGACGTGCAGCCAGCATCCTTTAGGGAAAAGTAGGAGGAAAGTCCACACTAGCAGCGTGAGGCTGCCCGGTGAGCGCAGAGCATCCCCGTCCCTGCTGCATGCCGTGCCCTGCAGCTGGAGTGCTCCTGTCCTGCGTGAGTCACATCTGTGACAAGAGCTGTCCCGGACCGCCCGCTGCTGCTGGCCTGGGAGCAGTCAGTGCTGGTGCCTCGCAGGCTGCTCCTGGGTCTCCAGAGAAGAGGCTGGCAGCTGGCATTTGTCCCTGAGGACAGAGCTGCAGGGCTCCGTGCTGGGCCGCTGCCAGTCTGGCTGGGGAAGGGGGCGAGGCACAGCCTGCTGCCCACCCTGCCAGCGGGCACACGGGGCACAGACACCCACTGCTGGCATTCACGGGAGGAGAAGGAGAGCTCTTCCACAAAGCTTTTCACAGAGCAGTTAACAGGATGAGCTGCTGTGGCCAACGTCTGCCTGTCCTGTAGCCGGTCTGCAGCCTGGGACTACTGTGCAAGGGCTGTGGCAGTGCAGGCGTCTGTGCCACACGTGCAGTTCACAAGGCCATTTGTAACTCCCATCTTCAGGGGGACACCATCCCAGTGCCTGCTGAAGGGTCCTTTGCCCAGATGGTTCTGGTCACTTCCATTCTCCGCTGGCTCACACAGGGAGGTGCAGGGCAGTCAGCAGCATCTCCAGGAGCCTGGAAAAAGCCAAGGAGTCAGAGCTGGTGTGAAAACAGAGCCCAATGTCCCCCTGTGCTGCTCCTCCAGCCTTGCTCAGTATCTCCCACCTGCCCTGCCCCAGGTGCTCCACAGCAGGGCCAAATCCCACAGGTCCTGGCAGAGCAGCAACACAACAGGGAGGGCTGCAGAGCTCCCAGCACTGCAAACATCTGCTCCAGCAGGGACTCAGAGACCAAGGACCCTGCTGCACCCCCTCACCACATGGTCCTGGCTGTTGAGAGAGCGAGGTCTGTGCCTGGAGGGAGTCACTGGTGCCCACCCACACTGTCAGGAGAGGTGCAGCAGCACTCCTGGCACAGCACAGCTGCTGGTGCCTGGCAGGACCAGAGCACAGCAGTCCTGCACAGGCAGACAAGGCTCACACTGAGGGATACCAGCCCCTGAGCATGGCAGGTACAGCCTGTCCAGACACTCCTGCAAGCCCTCCCTGCAGAACCTTTCTGTCAACTCACCTCTGCAGCCATGGGCAGCAGAAAACCATCTGTTCATTTTGCCACCTGGCTAACTCTAAAGGTAACAGTTTGAAAATGGGCTCTGGTGTAAGCTTCAAGCCACCCTCAAGGCACTGAGGGCTGAGACATGAGACCTTTAGCCCAGGGTCATTGCATCCAGAGAGCACATGGAGAGAAGCCTGATCAGGAGATGGGGATGCAGCATCCATCCCTCCCTGCACCAACGCCCTGAGGTTCCACCAGAGCTCTGCAATACCAGCCACAGCCTGATCTACTCATGAAACATGCACCAGTCTGCAGAATTCATCTCCTGTCAGCTGCTACTCTTAAGAGGAGGCAGAAAAAGGGTGAATGGAAAGGCAAATGATCCTGGACTAGATGTCCATCTACTCCCCATAGATAGGGAACTGGACTGTGCTTTGCACAAATCTGAACAGTTCAGAGGAGGGACAGCTCCCACATATTTCTCCAGCCCTTTCCCTCACTTGCTACTCCCCCATGTGACTCCACCAACGGGACGGCTTCCCAAACAGGGAATGTCTGCTGCACTCTCTCCTGTCTGCATTCACCCTCTGGACAAACACTTCCCTGAGAACCACGAAGCATCATTCTACACAGCCTGCTCATGGCTCACAAGTTGTGTGCCACACAATGTGCCCAAATCTATTCACCAAAAGGTCTCACACACATCCCACCCCATGCACAGCTAGGATCACTCATACTCACTGGCTTCTCTTGTCTGTTTATGCCTCATTTGTGTGCACACACATTTCCTCCCCATGCACACATGCTATGTTCCACTCACACATGCACATCAGCTGTCACACGTGCCAGCCCTGTGCACTTCATGCTCCAAGGCAGACAGGGTCTCCAGTGTATTTTTATGTTAGAAATCATGGTACAGAAGCACTAATATTGCTCCCCACCCCTCCTCCTTGCCAGCCCATTTGTTATGAAGGTATTTCCACACCAGCCAGGTGAGGTTGTTGGCAGTGCCACAACTGTGTCTTGCAGCCAGGCCTCCCCACACAGAAGTGCTTCCTGTCCCTGCTCCCAAAGGGCAGCTGGTGAGGGTCCCTATCAAACATCAAACACCAGAGTATTTAACACTGTTCATTAGGGGAGCAAGATGACCTGTAGGCTGGGGACAGACTGAGCCATCTCTTCCCCCACAGAGGATAAAGTAACTGCACAGACCAAATGCAGATTGGGGTCCCTGCTCAGCAGCAACAGAGCCAAGGCTGCCCAACCCACAGCAGGCTCCAGAGCAAGACACTCACAAAAACAGCACAAGTTCAAGTGTGCTTTATCACACGTACCTGGGTATACATGAGATAAATACAGCAGGACATAGTGCACTGCTGTCACAAACAGCACCTCTCCCAGTTCTCACACCTAGGAGAGCTCTGGTTATTTTAGAGTAGGTTACCCAGACAGTGAGACATGTCAATAAACTGAGCAGCATAAGCTGTGCCAGAGCAAGAGTTTCAGGTCAGCAGCAAGAGCAAACAGTAAGTGTGGGAAGAACACCCTATCCAGCATCTCTGCCTGCCACTCTGCAGCACTTTTGCAGGCAAAACCTCTGGTTGCATCCAAAATCTGAGTACAAGTGAGTTGTAGGTAGTAAACTCAACTGCCAGAAAGAGAATTTAAAAAATAATCCATCTGCATGTGTTCTCAGGACAGCTATGTCAGCCAGAGCCTTGGGGAGAAGCAGCCACCACCTGCTGAAGTCTCCTGTTCTGCCCTCCCAGCATCCTGTCCTTGCCATCCAGGAGCAGATCCAGCCATAGTGATTTATAAAGCCCTGCCAGAAGCCTGACAAGGCAGCAGTGCCAGGGTGCAGTTCTGCAACACTAAAGGCCTTCTGAACACATGGGGAGGCTGCAGGAAAGCCAGTCCAATGGAGCAAATCCTGGCACCACAACCAACATCGGCATCCAAGGTCTCCAGCCGAGCTGGCACAGGAAGGCAGCACATTCCCTCTGCCTCCAGAACCCAGCACTTGGGGCACACAGCTGGCAGAAAGCACCAACACTGGCTCTGTGACAGCAGCAGGAGCCACCTTCATTCCCCTCATCACACCATTTCACACCTTAGTGGCATCTGATTTCTTCCAGGACACAGCTACCCCAGGCACACACTGCAGGCAGCCCTGTGCACACAGAAATGGCACTGCTCCCTGTTCAGAAATGGGCTCTGGGCCTTCTCTGTCAGCCTGACCAGAGTTACAGCACAGCCCCAAACAGTGTCAATAAACCAGTAAGAATAGCAGCTTAAATGCACACACTAAGGCAAGGCAGGAAAGAGGGAGTGAGGGCAGGAGATGCTGCAGTGGGCGAGCTCCACTCGAGCAGAGCTGCTCCCTGGCTGGCAGACAAGCTGGCCCACAGTTCCCAAGGCAACTTGTTCAGCCCTGCTGCATCTGAGCACTCCAGAGAGCAGATTCTGCCATGGAGAGTCCTGCTGAGCAGCCATGGGGCTGGGCTGCGTTGCTGTGGGAAACACAACCTCACGTATAGTCTCAGCTATTGTGCTGTTTTTTATACTTTACAGATTTCTCATCTGAGCTGATGCAGTTTGCTGGTCACGTGTCCAAAGTTCAGCTACTCTCAGCTGAGCTGTCTGCACGCTCTTCCTGTGGGCAGCAATGCAGGTGCTGTAACCAGAGCTGCCTCACCCAGGTCCCCGACACCAAAGCCCAACTACAGAACCTGTGGAGACCTCCAGTCCCCTGCACCACAAAATGTGGGCCCAGAGACACATCTGCAGCCAGGCTCATTGCTGATCCAGATCCTTCTTTTCCAGTGACAAATTCTCAGCCTGTGTCTCTTCCGTGACAGCTTCAGGCTCATGTCTCTCCTCAGTGTGCAGAACTTTTCCAGCTGCCACATCACAGACCTCTTCCAGAGGCTGCAAAGCCAAGAGCCTCAAGTCCTACTCATGCCCTTGCAGCAGCAGGAATCAAGACACCCCAGAAGGTCCCATGCACAAGAACCAGGACCAGCACAGTATTTATTTCCCTGTGTTATTGAAAACCTTCCACCAAGAGCTGGAAGTGGCCCTTCTCTGAGCCACACGTGAGCAGCAGGGCTGTAAATAACCAGTGGGAGCTGCTGCAGCCAGCCCAGCCCACAGCAGCACACACGCTCCCACACGGCAGCGTGCCCAGCACTCACCACACCAAGCAGGTTTCCATGCAGAGTGTGAAGCACCAGACCCTCACGCTGCCCCAGGCCCAGGGTGATGTCCCCTCTCCTGCTGCTCTGCCATCCCTGCTTCCAATTATCAGCACAACTCCCCCCTCCCTCCCCTCCCCACAAGAGCTCGTGCAGTTTGTTGGTGTGCGTTTGGCACAGCTATACTGTACATCATGTTGACAGTAGAAATTACATCCTGAGCTTATGTTTTACACTGTGCTCTGTCAGAACTCACCGCAGCCCAGTGATCAGGACAAATTGAATAGCATCCCGTCCATGTCAATATTTATTTCATTTTACAAATGCAGGCTGATGCAGGAGAAAGTAGGCAGGGGGAGGGGGAAGACTTGGGCAGGCAATAGCACACCACAGTCCTGCATTAGTGCCCAGGGAGGATTGTCCCACCCAGAGGCCAGGCAGCATCCCTGGGACCTCACGCACGTAGCTCTACTGGAAGGGTTGGCACACCAGCACTGCTCTTCTGACAAGCCCTAATAATTGGTAAAAACCACAGAACTGCCCACCAGGTACCAGAAGACGCAAAGGCAGGGAAGGAGAGCCCTCTCTCCTCAACCCCAGTCTGCAGCCTCAGCAAACATGAGCTTGGGTGTCCTGCTCTGGCTCTCCACTCCTCCCAGCACAGTGGCACCAGCACAAGCATCAGGACTGCTCCAGGTGCTCAAACAGCCATGAGGATGCTACAAAGGCTGCTGAGGAGCAAGGCAAGAGCAAGGCTCTGCTTGTGCCACCCTCCAGAATGCAGAGCCACAGCACGAATACCAAGCACAAGAGAGGAGCTCCTTAAAGCTTGGGCTTTCTTCTGCTTTACCACAGCCCAGAGGACAGAAGGAAACAAAGGCTGCAGTTAGGAGGGTTGCTGGATAGAGACAATACCTCAGTCCTGACACCCACGGTCCTCTTGCTCCTGGATTAGCTGCCTGCAGAATGAGTTCATGGGAGCAGCCCTTACACAGCTCCAGCCCTGCCGCCCAGCAAAGCCAGGGAAGGAGCAGACAGCAGCACAGCAGGGACAGTCCTCGGGGTGGGGACAGCAGTGGCTGCCAGCACCTGCAGGCAGAATCCCACCCTGTGGCTGAAAACTGGGAGCTTGTGAACTCCCATGCTGCCAGAGCTGCTCCTTACAATGTGCTCTCCCAAGGGCACATCGTGCAGGGACAACGGGGGCATGAGAAGAGCTGTGCTGTGCCTGCATCCCCAGGGTGTGGAGCAGCTATCTCTGACCAGCCACGAGGAAGGCACACAGCTCCAGCACTGCTCTGCCAGCTTTGGCACTGAGCACAGCCA